ATAATAACAATAATATACTTGGAATAATGATTTATGCGAACACATGCCACTTTTACAGGCAATATCAAAGTGTCGTTTCGTTATTGAGGCTGTAAAAGTCTGGAAAGAAACATATCATCGTGCCATACAAAGTCTTCTGGAGTACAAGACTGTTTAGATATTGACTCTCACGAACATTGGATGAGAGCGATATCGTCAAACAATGGTGCTGAAAATTGGTGAGGGTGCAATCACTCAGTGTGAGAAGCAACAGTGAGTCATGACGTCTATAAGAGTATCCTACGTACCGAGTGTTGCGAACAAACGAATCCGGAGACATATCTGTATTCAATAAGTTTGTGCTGTCTACAGATGGCCAACGGAACTGAAATGGATGGTGTGGCAAGCTTGGGCCTTGTATTGCGTCTCAAGATACATGTCTCTAGGGGTACAAAACCACTGGAATTTTCACATCAGTTATTTGTTCTTAATGTGCGAAACGGCTGCAAGCTGTTATTTGTGCTTTTTGTATGCCTGGGCTGGCCTGAATACTGTTCCCGTACAAGTTGATCATAAGAATGGGCGTTTCTTATAATTTCACCCGAAAACCCTGTGCACCCTAGCGTCTACGCAACTCCGTAACCCACTGTTCTCTCCATGGGCAGCAGGTTCATCATGGTGTGTAATTTTCAGTTCCACTGACAAGTTCTCTCGAGTATCAGATAAACGGCTAGACCTGTCACAATCAACGGCCGTCAACGAAGAAGCAGCTCCGTAACTGGATAACGGCTTATTGGCGGATGTTGGTGAGGCGTTTCGAAATAAATCTTGTGAAGTATCCAAGACATCTTGGCAGCAACTGGCTACAGAACAGTTGTTTATAAGTAATGTAGATTGCCGGTTTGCATCAGCTTGGCAGCTTTGTCACTGATTTACATCCACTTTCTGATTCCATCTTTACACCTGCGAATGAAGTAAAAGAAATGGGAGTGTCACGGAAGTTCATGAACTTGGTGGCCACTCTCTGGCTATAAAAGTAAACCGAGACATGGGAACAGTACGTCTGACGCATCTGAGAGTCAAAAACACCACCGTGGAACTTCAGAAGCACTTTCTCTCAGGTGTTGTTCTGCATCACACATCGAACACCTGTGAAGCAACCAAAATCTTGATTTTGGTCAGCAGTAAACAGCTGCCTGTAAGCCATGGTCATTGCTTCTGACGCCTTCTTAATTTATTTAATGTCTGTCAGCGGATTTAATCACACCCGCTTCAATTTCTAATCACTGTGACCATCACAGAGTAAACGTGCTCGGTTTGTCACTTCTTTTCCCAAATTTCATTGAAACGTTTCTGCTCTTAACCGTGCGTTGCGTGAAATCGTTTCGTCACTGGAACTTGACATTTCGTTTACAGTTAAAGGCATTTGCTTTCATTTGCACACCGAGTTAGTTGTTTCGAACTATCATTGGTGCAGTAGCACCAAAATGTAGACGGTGCACTTATATGGACATGCCTGTAAACTAGAGTGTGGTTGTGTTTACGGAAATAGATCATTGCTATCATCTTATGTGGGACACTGTGTATGGTGCCTCCCTGCCCATCTAATGGGTGCTTTATGGCCCCTGAAGGGATGTAGCTGGTCACATTCTGCACCTTGAGCACAGTATCATGTGTGGCCTGGGTTCTATTCATGATATCTGAAGGGGCTTTGCCGACCACAGTAACCAGACGATTCACAGTCGCCAGACTTTGCGTTTCGTGTAGTATATCCGATATGTTGACAAAAATTGCACCAAATAATAGACGGTTAGATAGCAATCCATTCACTAGCAGTTGTGGGTTATGGATCCTATTCTGAGGTCGTGAAACCAGTAAGAACTGTATATTGAGGGCTTCAAACTTAGTTTCACTTCTCTTCGCAAGATTCTTGAAATCTGCCACGGCTTTCCTTGGTTTACCTATGCTATCCACTATCACTTTTAAACAGAATAATAATAAAACATCTACAACACTGATCTGTGGGAGTTAACATGTCAGTTTAGTTGTCACTTGTTTGTTTTGAAGATTGGTAGTGATACCACCAATATCAGGATCCATATCCGCTCCATCCGTTAGCGCGAGCAGGTTTGGAGTGATACTCTCATTACTGTTGATTCCTCCACAGCTTATATCAGCATGTATCTTCTGAATAAGACCCATAGGCTGGCCGTATTTCGCCAACTTAAAGGAAAAAATAGAGAACTGCAATCGACCAGATGGGCTCAGCAGCGTAAGAATATTCGTGCAAAAACCATTGGCTGATGCGTGTACAGGAGTCCGTCCGGGCCTCTGGAGTATTCAGGTTTCATGCAGCCAATCCTTTCTGCGAGTTATTTCGGCACATTTGATAAACGGCAGTGTCAAACAACAGCAGACAATCGCGGCAAAATAATATGGACCAGTTTGCTAACACAACAAGTTGTGAACATGCCTTGTCATGTGCTATACTCTAGTCACAGTAAACAGTTGGCAACCTGAGTGTAGGAATGGTCCACAGGAGACTTGGTCTTAGCAGTTTGCCACAAATACAGGCCGGAAAACTTCTGGTCCACTTTTCAATAGTAGCCAACTCTCTCTTTTGACTTGGTTGAGAATGAAGTTACATTTCCTAAGTCCGCCAGCTAATTCAGGGATTTGGCGAACCAGCACTCTCACGGCGTCGGGTGCTTCCCCGCTCTAGACTTTAATATTGTTTCTCGAATTCTGAGATAACTAACCCCCCTCCCATCCGTTTATGTTTCCCGTTCCCATCCGACATGCGGATTATGACCACAGGCCAAACCAACGCACAAAGCATCCAGATTGTATGCAAAACGTGTGAACCATAATTCCTTACCACCCAGAGATGCAACAAACCAAAGGACAATTCATACCGAACTACAAGCTCACCAAAAGTCTTAGCTGAGATCGGAATTGTATCTGGAAATGTCAGTACAATGAACTCACCTACATGTGTCATGGTCGACGCACCTCTGCGTAGTATTTCTGTGCTCCTGTTCCGAATTTCGTCTGCTGCTCGCTTTCGTTATTCATTTTTCAGGTGCACCCAACAAGTCCCTCATTCATATGGAATCCCAGTAGTTTAATTTGTCAGCGCGCACTATGCCATCTAGACCTTATGACGAACTCATAGAGCCCAGAGTCGCAGCTTTACTACCCACCCTACCTCCAAGAATATTGAGAGATTCAAACAATAGCCTAATATTTCCTACTTTCGAACTGAGCTTGCCTCAGTATGATGAGCAGTTATGCTGGTTTTTATCTGTTTCAGTTTTTGCTGTCTGCAAAGCATTAACGTTCTTACTCTAGACGCATCTTTTATGTACCGGAAAGAACGGCGTCCATTGTATAGCTTCATATTGTACATAACAGCCAGTTCACATTACCAAAATGATCAGACCTGTAAATTGGCTTGTTTTCATGTAACTTATGTTGTATGAAATTTATTATTATTATTAGATAAATGCTGTCTTCACTCAAACATCCAGGTTCTTTGACTGCTGACAATCAATCACCTGGAAGCGAAGCTAATGGGAAGTGAGCTCATAAGAAGCGTCGACGCTGAAGTCTTACTGAATGGTCTAATGATGAAACCTTATATATTCTCTCTTGTGATGTGTCAATAGTAGCTGGGCGGAATCACATCTCCGACGTAAGTTTATTCAAATAACACTGTTCACAACACCACGGACCTAAGCAATCGCCACACTCCACATGACACTATCCAATACTAGACCCAGACTCCCCTCTCCGCCCATCCCAGTAATTAACTCTACTTTTGCATGCCACCACAAGAAACCGGTAAGGAGCGTAATTTATATGATCCCAAGAAAGTGCCTTCTTATCGGCAGTAATAACATAAAGCCGACCAGACACCTCTCGAAAGGCAAGAGGAGACCATGATACAGATGCAGGCTATCTAGAAAAGTCAAATCGTGGTGCGTACATGGTCCGAAAGAATCCATGCAAAATCACGATGGGCTGAGATGGGAGCTTATTCCGAAAATTTCGTCCGGAGGTTTGGGGGCTACCCTAAAAACCCTCATCCATCCATGGTTGAGGGAAAATCTACTAGGTTAGGAATATCTGTTATGTATGGCCTCAATTAGGATAACCTGTGTGGGGTGGAGGCTACCGAAACGTTTAGCAGCACCGTTAATACACAGCTGAACATTCTGTCACCCAACCGCATGCGCTAACTGACTGAACAACCTCGGAGGTTACCCAGTACAGAAGAGCCACGTAGATAGTAGACAACCCATGATATGGTTCTTGGGGAGATGTCCAAACTCTACACGTGGAAATCCACAGTATGCGAATACATTCCCCCATCTATGTCGAAACAACGTGCCAGAACCACATGTGGCCTACTCTGTGACCTTTAAAACACACCTTAGTGATGGGCACCTTGTGATGGGCAGAAATCTTGGTAAAAAGCCGCATATGCTTGAAGCCTTTTCAACGGATCCTTTTGCCTTAAAATTTCGAGGAAAACATGTGAGCCAACCCGTATGTATCAGATTGGCTGAAGTGACAAAAAATCAATAAGACCGAATCTAGAAAGGCCTGGAAATGGCCAAGGCCGTAGTAACGTATATATATAAACCGTTGTATGTCGTAAATATGTGTTGACGTTGTCTTTGACGTTACAAATACGCCCTTTGTTCGGTTACCGCTTTCCCTATTTACGGAGAAACCGAGCGACCGTCATGGGTGGAATCTGAAATTGGATAGTTGAGCAGTGACACGTGACTTGCGCTCTTCCAGGTGGGATACGCAAAAGACCAAAACAAGAATCAGAACAAGTCCCACAGGACCTAGAAGTTAAACAAAAGAAATTAATTGGTTTATACAAAGTGAGAAACCAAATATTGGAAGGTTTCTATGATACAGAGTTTAGCGTTTATACAAAATGTGGCGTTACATTCCTCAGTAAACTGGTTGACTCGTTTCTACTTAGTGGTACATGGACTTGTAGAATGAGTCAGCTGAAACTAATAAGCGAAGTAAGTTGGGACTGAGTGATTTCATAAAACATTGAAGGTTGATTTCATCACGATGTTCACTGACATCATGATGCCAACATTTGAATCACTCATCCTGCATGCCATCTTACACTTAAAACTAAAATAAACACTGACTTGACTTCGATATAGATTTGATTTTTTGTCTTTAGATAGAAAGCTGCGAGCCTATATTAATCCTTTACCAATAGATGTATATAGTTTTCCAGTTCTCTTTTAAATAATCTTACAGAAGATCCAGACACTACTTCTTCTGGGAGTCTTTCCCAGGAGTTGATCACTCGACACAAAAACCAGTACCATATGGGAGCTGCATTCATCTTTTGCTTTCGCATTCTTCTGTTGTGTCCTCTGAGGTGTCCCGACCTAGTCGGATGTAAACAAGAAGATAGTTTAGGTCCAAAAACATTTCTAAGAAGCCTTTTAGCCCGTTTGGATCTCTTTTCTGCCTGTGAAAAGATGAAAGGGAGAGATTTAGCCCCTTAAATTGACCTTCATGTGTTAAACTAGCCGTCTGAGAGATCATACGAGTGGCTGCTGTCTGAACTCTTTCCAGGAGGCTTGAGTCACATTGTAACTACCAGCTGTTGATACGTCTTCATCTAGCCTGTAGGCATGCACGTTGTTGCAAGGGGGGGAGAAGTTTGAGTTAGGCGGTGACCATGGGGATGTGTAAGGGAAAAGGGGAGGAGAAAAAAGGGAGCCAACGACTCAGCAAGTACAACATTCCGGATGAGAACTTACCGCCTGTGTATAGTTTTTTTAATTTAGACCTGACTGAAGATGTGTATAAGATGGTGAGCACATCAGTGCTTGCTTTTTAAACGTTCTGCGTAATGCCCAAAACTTCCTAAAACTCTGAGCTGCAACTAATCAGCAATGTGCCGTGGTCTTCAAATCATAACTCGTTGTGAATCTTAGGTCATTGTAGGTTAATATTGAGGGTAAAGGAGTTCAAACATCATCGTAAGTGTTTGAATCTGTGTGCTTAGTGTGGATTCTCACATATTAACCTTCGTTGATAGACATCAGCTACTTCTCTGATCAGGTAAACAAGCTGTTTGGGTCTGTCAGTAGTGCACGTATATCGTCGTCATCCACCATTTCCCTCTAGGTTTTTAAATCGTTACTACAAAGAACCATAGTGAATTTCATGAAATTCGGTACCTTGTTTATGTTTAGGAGAAATGGCAGGGGTCCAGGACTGTGTCTTGCAGCACTCCACTACCTACCGACTTCCAAGAGGAGAGTTGAGAATTGGTCCTCACTCTTTGTCTCCTACCGACAAAAAACTCTCTGATCCATGCAAATAGACAGCCAATGATTAAAAACTCTCCAGTCAAACGAGAGGCCTGGAATTAGGTACTTTGCCAGAAGCCTTACTAAAGCCAATGAAAATGAGATCTACATGCATCTTATCATCCTAAGACAACCCAAATTTCTCTGAATGTAAGAAGACTCGTCAAGCAGGCGAAATTTCTGAGAAAGCCATAGTGTAAATGAGACAACAGAGTGTAGGTCTCCAAATGAAGTGTAATGGATATATTGATTAGTTTTTCTAGGATGTTTCCTACTACACTAGTCAGGCTTATCGGCCTATAGTTTAACGGGTGCTGTCTAGAACCTGCTTTGCAGATAGGTGTGATAAGATTTCCGTATGATCAATTGGGGAGTGTTCTTTTACTGCAGTGCAATCTAAATATGGTAGTCAATGTGCAAGCTCTCTGAGCAGCCCTGGGTGATGCTCATTCGGTTTTGTCTACATTCAGAATATCTAATGCCAGAAATACATAATCGTGATCGACATCCACAGGGTTTATTCTGTTATATAATAGTGCTTCCATTATTGAATTAGGTTCCACAGAAGGTTCCTATATAAAGACTTCAGAAAATTAAGAAACGTATTCTTGTTATATAACGTATGAGTTTTGGTACAAGCTCTTTCGTGTAACTGTTAGGTACACCAATGATCCACAGAAGTAAAAAATAAAAAGTAATTTGTTTAAAGATATTTGAAAGGATGGAACAACTCATTTTCATTCGCAGGTCAATGTCGAAAGTTGTCATAATAGTTTTCAGCGTTCTTAGAAAGCAATGTTCAAGCCTGCTTCTGAAAACCTTGAAGATGGTAAAAATTGAACAACTGGGCTAATTTGTATCTTTTCTTGCTTGCATTCTTCCACTACGGAATTCACGTAGACTACGGGAGCAAGATTAATCATTCTTCGGGCAAGGTCTGTCAAATTCTTATCCCAGAAGTTGGTGTGTTTTGTAGAGTCTCTCTAAAGCTTCGTGTAGACGGGATAAAATTTTGCTGTTTAATCATTAATCATTTTTCACATCTAGTTTCATGTGTGTTTCATACTTTTATCCTCGTTCTGGTTGAAATCCAGGATGGGCTTTTCATGAAGCATTCACCGACAGTTATCAGTTTTAAATATCACCAAACTTTTAGAAATGAGTTCTATATGGAAACATACATTTCCTATCATTTTTGGCATTTTTATTTCTCAGTGAATGTAAAGGAAAACGGTATATATATGTATGAAAATCCATTATTTCCCTGTAAATCTGTCTTTGAAAGTTGCTGAGGAATAACCCACCTTGGATTTGCAATCATAAGCCGTCGATGTATTGCTGTGATATTCAGTTTCATATCTAATCTCAAAAGAATTAAGAGTTTTTTGGCGAAAGCAAATTGAGCATTGTAGACTTTACTCTTGCAGCCATCTTATCATAGCTACCCCAATACTCTTAATCTACAAGTGAATACTGAGACTTATATTGCTGCAGGGATTATCGTGTTTATTCCTAAAAAATTTATCAAACATGAGAAATCAATCCATATTAGATTCGTTTATTTGATTTACAGTCCATAACGATATAGAATTGTTCACTTGGTCTTTTTTCGAGCATAACTTATTGCTTGTAATTATGTCAGTGTGAACACTGATTCAGTTCATCGTTTCTGGTTTGCCAGACGATGGTAATTATCATCCTAGTTCAGTGTCAAATTTTTCTATTTCATATAGTACACTGTAATACACTGTTGTTTGCTTGATTACGTTTTCAAAACAAATTATTTTTCATGATCGTATCAAAGTAATTAAAAAACTTTTGACATCTGACTTTTATGATTTCACAATTTTTTCCTTTAGTTCTACTGGTAGTAAACCTTTTTTGATGCTTAAACTTCAGACCATCTGATTTGAAGTCAGTTAGGGCAGGTTTATTGAAATTTTTAAACAACTGAGCTACGAAACATATTATTGAATTATAAGACATAAATAAATAGTTTTAACATATAAAGGAAACTGCTAATGGGTTTATGAAGAAATTCACAAGACCACATATGAAACTAAGTATTATTATTATTATTATTACTGTTATTATTATTATGAGTAGTAACGCAAATAGAAAGTTGATGGGTTCGATAGAGAAGGAGTATCGGAAACTCTACGTGGAATTCTCGATAAGGGTGGAACTTGGGTAGTATTCAAACCTGCCAACTCCCTGAGAGATAAATTATGTAGGCTTGAGGATCTCACTAACTCAAATAGAAAAAACCATTTGATCTATCGAATGCCACACTATGAATCAGAGCTCAAACAAATAGATCAAACCAGCCGACCGAGGTCAGTGAGATGATCAGAGGACAAGAATTTAGTCAAATGTAGAATGATAGATCCTCCATTAAGATCAGTTAATCGGATAAAAACTTAGTTACTATATCGCATACACTAATACACTACCATGCAGTAGAGTGGGACAAAACAAGTTTATTAAGGTCCAGCGTATTAGTTGAATGGAGGCAGTTAGCAGCAAGCTCTAGATATAGATTTTGGCGCTGGTCAGAAAGGCGTATCTGCAACCTCAATGGAACTAAAATCCCACCTAGAGTTTAAACCCAGTGTAGTTGACTGGATACAGATAGACTGATTATCTTTTTGTCAAACCAACACCGAGCATATGTAATAAGAAAGGCGCAGAGCTTTACCGTGAAGGAGTCCACTACCACTAAGAACAAAAACTATGAGGTGATGGGACTATGAAAATCAAACATCGAAAGTTGTGTGACTGCTATGTCATGATAATGAGAAATAATTTTCTCTGCAACCGTCACCAATCGAAGAATTCTGCGTCACTGTGTTCGGTATATCAAAACAACAAATGCAATAATGAAATTATATTCGACCACAGTGCTCAAATCTTGGTGTTATATTCGGATCTTAACTATCGACGTTAGAAAATTCCTTTTGCCTTCATGGCTTCTTTTCGTTTTCCAGTATCATCAAAAACCTCAGTAGCATCTTAATGATAGCATAAGTTAGTCCAAGGGATGGAAAAAGTTAGGATCAGGGGGTAAATTAGAAATGAAACTTTCTGTAGCCTTGGTATATCGTATCCTTAGTTTTAATAGGAAACAGAACAGCGTTTCATTCGCTAGTAAGTTAAGAGTCAAACTAGTCGGCTGTGGGGAAAAATATCTGCCAGTGGCACTGGATAATGTTTTAGCTATATCGCCAGTTGATAGAGGTAGGAAAATAAAGACCACCGTATTTCGACCCAGTGGCTCAGTCGTAATGGATTCCCAACAAGGTCTGACGGTTCTGGCTTCGAACCCTGATGGGATCACTATTGTGCACTGCTGAAGATCCTCAGGCTAGGACAAAACAGCTTTCCAGTGCTCTAAGATTTTTATTGACTATCCAACTGATGTCAGTCTGTGATGAATATCACCTTGAAATCAATCAATCTCCACAAACCTCCACTGTAAAGTAAAAGTATAATGTAAGACAGAACAAATTTCTTCACACATTATTATGTCGATAATAGCTGTCAATACAAAATTATTCGAAGATGGTTGATGATTAGTTGGAATTTTTATTGTTAGAAGGGAAGTCAGTTTCCACGAGAGAGAGAGAGATGTGCATATGTACGTCTATGACAAAACTTAATAAGAGTGGAGACAGTGTACGTGCTTGACAGACACAACTCGGTGTACGCAGCTCACCTGACAACTAAACACAGGCTTGAACGCGCCGATAAGTGTTCGAGTAAAGAGCCTTGAACAGAGCAATTTATTTGTTCAGCACCCACCTCCCCAAGAAATGCCGGCATGAAACATCTCTATCGACGGAATCGGATGTCACCCTGAGTTCAAGAAACATAGCTATTGTGAGGACGTCAGTAAGTACGAATGTATTCCAGAACCCGTATATTTGGTATATATATATGGTCTACACACCCATGGCCAGGTCTGAGACCTACCTGGTTATTTTACACTTAATGCTGCCAAGCTTCGTTTGGATTTCTGATAACTCAGCATTTTAGGCACTGAGCTCATCAGAATGATCCTCCTGTGGTTAAAGACTATAACAATCAGTGGTCAAAAACAGTCAGAGGGGATCATATCAGACTCTCACACGCTAGTTAACACTTCGGTTAATCTAATTCAGAAGAAGCTGTTGAGATTCACTGGCTCTCCCAAACCACTCTCTCTGAGTTCTCTAGTCTTCAAAGCCATTTTTACAGCAGACTGGAGATGATACCAGGCTTCTTCTGAATGAGGGGTGTTGTTCGGCTTCTGTGACTCTCTAGCCAGTTGTTCAGTAAAAGCTACCTTAGTGTTCTCATTATCCAGCTGCTCCTGAAATGATCTGGTTGCTGTAGCTTCACTATATTCATTTAAGCTGAGACGGGCCTCCTCGGACCACCACGTGGTCACCATCTAAATATATACTCCAGAAGTAGTGACAATCTTACCCCAGCCTTCTCCAGCTATAACTGATAGCGATGATGCCCAGTCTGTGTCCACATCTGAGTTGAGATCGGTGGACACTAAGTCCCAAAACGTTTATTTTTATATCTGAAGTTCTTGCTACCCAGAAGTAGATGGTTGTCTGAGAACAGTTGTAGTAGGCGATCGCCATTATCCATTCATTCGTCTGAGATTCCGAAAGTACCACTCAATCCCCTTTCTGCCCGACTTAACATACTTACTAGTGCATCGAAATCACCTGCAACTACAAACAATTCCGAATGTTTGGTTTTCAGTAGGAGGTTAGACAGTTTTCAGTAGACCTTATGTTTCACTACATTCGAACTGCAGTCAGTTGGTGTACTACGGAAGATTAGAAAGAGGCAACAACGAGTTTCACTATTCTTTTTCTTCTCCGCTGTACCGCTCAGTTGAGCGATGCACAGGCGACTGTCAACTGGGATCCAATCGAGAAGTACACTTTCTGCCTCAACACCTAATGCTGTAACTACATCCACAAGACCACTAGAACTAGGCATCGACTCTACGAAAAATCGAAAGGTGAATTGTGTATATTCACCAAACTAACCGGTTGAAGTCGAGTGATTGACCCCGTTTAGGTTGTGTATGCGTGTCTCAGAAACAGTAAATAGCACACAAAACCTGAAGGTCTTGGTTTAAACCCCAAACGGGACGAGGTCATGGGTACGCACCGCTGAGGAGTCCCATACTAGGACAAGACAGCTATCCAGTGCTCCCGGGTTTCCAATGTTCATTCAACTGATATCAGTCCATGGTGAATTCCGACCTAAAATCAGTTAGTAAATCACCACAAACCTCCAGACAGAATTCTTTCTTTTAGCTTTATAGTTCGCTTCAAATCTTAGTATATTTTATTTATACTTTCTTTGTCTGTTGATCTATTGCTTTGTATCTTCGTGTGCTCATCTGAAGTGTGGCAAGTTAGACCAGTGGGTATTAATGACAAGTACCATGTTAATCCAAACTGAGTTTTGACAGTGTGCCACATTATCAAGCAAATAAAATTGTTTTATTGATTTCCATTTGATCACTGGATGAAAATCTGGACCGCGACCGGATTTTCATCTCACCTTCAGTCATCACCCAGTACAAATACTAGTCTGTCAAACCACGGCTATCAAATCAAAATTCAGTATTGTTGAATGTCAACTCATCATCTCGACTAATCAGACAACAACCACTGTCAGCCAATCAGAAGGGAATTGGGCGAACTTTTTCAATAAATAAGTTACTTATGAGTAGTTAAGTCAGTAACGTCGAATAAATGTTACATATTGCCTACTGAAACTTTTTTTGTTCTTTTTTTTCTGTAAGAGGTTCAGTAACATTTCCCAATATGATCAAAATACTGTTCAAAACCTACCAACTTCAGTTAGTACAGATGCTTTTGAATCAGAATACCAGCTGATCTTACCACCACTTAGTGGAGATAAATGCATAACCTCTTACAAGTATGATTCACCCAATATTCTTCAGCGATTGACAACTCGTCGTATAGAAAAACATAAGAATCGATTGGAAAATTGGTGTGAAAAACTTTCTGAGATAAATGAAGTAAGTATTTTCAAGTTTTTATTACTTTCCTAGCTTAAATGTTGGCAAACAATTCATGGCGTATTATATCAAGCATCATGGAGTGGCCCAGGATTTCATTTCATACATTTAATCATCACGTAGTATAAATAAAAGTCTGTATCAATCAGATAGTCAAAATGATAGTCAGTATGATGCTCTTTCTCTCTCCCTCTCTAATAAAAGTTGGAGTGGACTGGGATGAGAAGTCTTGACTGAGCAGCCAGTGTAAGTACGATCAAGAGATAGTGAAGCTTCACGAATTCTTATGTCAGTCGAAAAAACCTTGGTGGGTGCAATAAAATTAAGATCTGCTCTGCAGTCTGGTCTCTTAGCTTGGTCGGTAGAGCACCGGGCCACCAATCAGGAGGTCATTCGTTCGAATCCCTGCATGCCCTAGACTTCCATTTCACCTTCAATCATCACCTAACATCTAAACAAACCACGTTTAACCCAAATGGTCGAACTAATAATATTATTTCTCTAACATTTCATAGGATACAGGATACTTTAATTCTTTTATAATTTAACGTTTCCTTTGAGGCTTGGAAGTTGTCAACCGTTAGGTTTCATAAGGACAGCATGACAAAATCACACTTTACAAATCTCTTCAACTTAAATAAGCTAGTAATTTAAAGTAAATATGATTAATTTTTATCTGATATGCACTAAAAAGACATACCATTCCGTACTATATCAACGTAGATATCAGCCACAGTTTCTGTGAAATTGCTATGCACTTGTAACATGAAGTAAATGTTAATGAATTCGTCTAGCCTGGTGATGAAGCCACTTGCAAAGCTGAAAGGACACCTAAAAACTAAAAGTATACATTGTCATGTGTTTCGCACCTGTCGAATGTAAAATGATGTTCCAAGATCTGGGTGCAACTACTCTCAGTTTAATGATAGGGTGTGAAGTGACGGAATGTGTCAACCAAACGTCCTCAACCACTTATTTCTTTCATCTTGTTCTCCCTAACCAAACAGTTCACATCTCCCAATAAGGCTTAGATCAACAGCAAGATAACTCATCGACTGGTACCACGTCTTAGTATGGTCAATATGAAACCTCTACCAACCAGAAGCAATTTCTCCTAGCGTGACACGTTGAGGCACACGGTGACTCGGCATATGCAGTACATGTACAAGTCATTTCACTTGACTAAGGTTCATAAACTCATCAATCGACTTACCTCTCTTGTCTAGTATCCTTTGGCTGGCCTCGGCATTACTCACACGGTGATTTTACTAGCCGTGAGCAGTGCTACGAAGACACCTATGATCAAAACCCTTTAATCGTCTCATGTCTCACGGCTGTATAACGAGAAAGATCCAGCTGCAGGGCGATATACTCGTCCTTCGATAGATAGTTGGATATTTCGCAGTCGGTGCCACAGGTGATGCACGTTGGCAACTGCAGAATTGGTCTTTTGTATTCGAGTTGAGATTTCGTCAGCAACCAGCCCGTTCAGGCTGATGCATCTTTCCGGGTCAGTGAAGTGGTTGACACATTCCACCACTTCACTCCTTATCATTAAACTGGCAGTAGCTGGAGACTAGTCTTGGAGTATTTTCTTATAAAGTAAACGGCATAGACTTAATATGATACAAATTTTCGATTTTCTGAAGGCAGAAGTCCCACCTTTTGGATATTCTATGTATATTTACATTCATTTTATTTGGTTTTACGACTATTAACTTTGTAATTTCAATAGGATGCTGAAAACCAAGTGATAATTTGCTGTAAAACTACTGCTGATTTGTTAGATGCAAGCTGGGAGAGACAAAAGCGCCTGCTGAATAGAAATTTAGCAAATGATGTAAGTTATACGTGTATTAGAATCTTCCAGTTAATTTTACATGGTAAATTGTCTCTAAAGAAGCACCAAAAACACAAAATGCATATAGTTTCATACTTTTCTGTACCAGTACATTGTAATTTTTAACTCATTATGAAGTTCCTAACGTTTGAAAGTCTTTATGTTTCCTTGACGTACTTGACTCTTCTTGGGTTTTAGATGGTTGGAGGAAATCTCCAAGAAGTTCGTATTTGTTGGCACTCGTCAGAATGGCTAATCTTCAACCTCAAGGAAACTTATTACTCCCGTAAGATTTGAACTTCCGTTATCTGGCATCAGTTGAGCCATTTAATCTGCTACTGACATCGTGTAGGATTGGATTAGATAAGTTGATTAGTCACTTCAGGGTAACCAATTCCATGCTTTACAGTCTTGTGTACTGACCGAATTCTATCGATAGTTTGCAAAATGACCAACAACTTCCTGGAATTATAACAGCTAAGCTTGGATTTGAAAACAGCGAAAACGGGAGCGGGTCAAAATGGATCCATTACATGTTGTCGGTGTTTTGCCGACTGCTTACAACCTAGAATATCGAAATATGTCGTCTTACTGAAAACTGAACATACTTTGATTCTTAGTTTGAAAATCTGAGATAGCTGTAGTTTGCGAAATTTGTAATGATACTGGATGATGAAATAAAAGTCTGGTCAACAGACGCGTCTCATAGCTCAGATGGTAGAGTATCAGTCCTGAAAACCCGGTGAACGCTGGTTCAAATTCTACCATGGCCCTTTAATCATCCTTCAGTATGAATTATACTTTAATTCATTGAAACAGAACAGAATATCGGCCAGTCATTAGGACAGACAGAAATAGTCATGGTGTAGTGGGTAAATAATAACAGCAAATTGTAGAAAGGCAAATAAACTGTAACAAATTGTCACAATTATATACAGGATGCTAAAGATGCTTCCTGACTAAAAAAATAACAGCTAGAATAGTAATCAAAATATTGAAGGACATAACCCAATAATGCTACGTAATTAAGTTATACGATCAAATTGCAAAGCTACGCTGCACATCGTCATAGAACAGAACATAGAATGGCAGTCCACTGTACCTGTATCTCAACTTCATCCACTTTGAAAACGTCTTCGACAGCATCGACCGACAAGTAATTTGGCAGCTACTTTAACATTACGGTTTTAGTGCCACAAACCTTTATCAACTTCATTCAACAGAAGCCATATGTTATGTGATGCTACATGCCAAGTGATTCACAATGGAGAGGTCAGTAATGCCTTTGAAGTGAAGACAGGTTGACAGGTAAGACAAAGTTGCCTACTATTACCGACGATCTTCCTGATTGTGGTCAACTGAGCTGGACCATTCAAGAAACGACTGTGAGGAGCGAGAAGATGGGCATACGCTGTTTGATCGATGAAGAAACCCCAGAAGAATATTTGCATTTGACCGATGACGATTTATGTCTGGTGTCGCACAAACTCGAAGATGTACAGGCGAAACTTGCAAGTTGACAGAAGAGACGAGGCAGCGAATACGGGACTTCCTTCAGGTGAACGTAGCGAAGATAAAGGTGATGAAGATACCCAGCCGACGACAACAAGAAGCACCAATCACCATGCACGGGAGACATGTGAAGGAAGTTGTCTCTTTCACCTACCCACCTACGTCGGCAGCATCGTCTCAACTACAGGTGGTATAAGCACAGATGAGGATGTGAATGTCAGGATGGAAAAGACAGCAAGACATGCCTTCCTGCATTGATCTGAGACTTGTGTGGAGATCCACTGCACTGCACTGCACTGCACTGCACTCAGCATAAAGCATGAACAAGATCCTGATTTTCAACATTAAGTGGGTCAAGTGAGTGCTTCTATGTTATGTCGTCTTATGAAAATAATTTCCAACAAACTGCAGACATACATAAACAGCTCTTGCCTACTCTCACTCGATACTGAAGATCAGATGACCAGAAAGAATGACTAACAAAGAACTGTGGTAATGAACCAGCCATCGAGTGGAAGCCAAAGAGGAGACGACGAGTTGGGCGTTCGAGGGTGGTAATATGCAGTAGATGGTGTGAGGAAAAGGTGAAAGCTTCTGGATAGTCATGGAGCCAGGTTAAGAAGATTGCGGAGAAGAGAGTGAAATGATGATGTGCTACTGAAGCCCTGTGTTCCACAAGGAACCCGAAGAACAAATAATAATAATAAATGTGCATGCTACTGAAGTTACATCGGAAGAAAAGAAGCACTAGCCTCACTAGCACTCACCTGGGGAGAATCTTACTTTTCAGGAGGCCAAACTGCTGAAATCGTTCAATAGCCCTATATCTTCTACAGATTACTTATGAAGTCAACGTTGAAATAGCATTTAGAATCATATACAGAGAATACATGTCAAGTTTGCTTACGAGTTCAGATGCTGTTGCGATTCTCAGTGATCGCCCTATCATCCATTCTCCATCCATTCAACAAAGAGCAAAAAGACGTAATTTTTCTAGATTGTGTAATGTATATGAGTAAAATATTTCGAACAATTTGTTCATAGACGTACCCGTCATATGCAGGTTTTTATTGAAATCAAAGTTTCAGTTAATAATTATTGATACCCGTTTCACAAGAGGTAGCTCCTTTGCCTCAGTGGCCTAGTAGGTAACACTTTGACTCGCGGAGAGATGGGTGCTAGATTCGACTCCTAATGGTAACATCACTCACTGAGTTGCAGGTACAGCCAGCTGACGAGTTCCAAGTAAGACGAAGCATACGTACTGGATTTCACTGTCAGCCACCACTTAGTAAACTGCAGCATCTATATGAAAGGTTTTAAAGCAATTAGGGGTGAGAATATTAAAAGAGGTCATGTAGAGAGGCTAAATTAAAGGTCAAAATGACAATGAAAACCAACAGAGCGAAAATAGTAGTATATCGAAGGTGGTTTCACATTTGAATTCACTTAAGGAGGTTCGATGTGGTAACAGATTGTTTTTGAACACAAAATGGTGACTTAAACTTCCCGATCTTCTTGGTTCGGGCAAATTTAAGGATCCACTCAGCGAAAAGGTTTTGTAAATAGGTTTAAAAGGACGTAAGAACGTCACCGCTGTGGCCTATCTCTACGAAATGTTTTGCAATCGAAGAACTCAAACATCCACTACCAACGTTTATAGATTCAGATGATTCTATTTGCTTTTAAAGTCACTTTAGAATATGCTTCTTAGTCCTTACTTATAAAATTGGTGATTTATTTCCCTAGTTTATATTTCACATCTCCACTTCTATCTGTTTCATTATCTTATTAACGCCTTATTCGCATTTCAGTTTTAAAATGTTTTGACACTGAATACTTTTCTAATAATTCATTTTGTGTAGTTTGTACTCAACCAAGGAACTGACGAAATATGATGATGTCGAAGTCTAGAATATTCATCATTCTTGCCATTTAACGATATCTCAAAACTGTTTACACTAGCTGTGTAGAGTCTTTCTTCCTGATGCAACTCATACGTCAAATTTTAAGTCAAATTTATATGAACGACTATCAGTATTTGACTGAATAGTATCACAGATATTGAACATTGAATAAAAGGTTGACATTAGATATAATTTACACTTGTGTAAGGCACAGCTTGTTTAAAATAAAATAATTCCAACGTTTTACATGAAACTTTGACCGGAGCTTTTTCAAAGAAATTATTTCCTATTCAAGTAGATTAGAATTGGGATAAGAAATCATGAATGGGCAGCCAATTTGAGTACAATTAAACAATAGTACCGCGTCAACAATTCACATGGCAGTAAGACATAACACTTGGTGATTGAAATGAAATAAAAATCTGGTCAATAGTCGGGTTGTCCTCTTACCTTATAACAAAACGATTAGCTCTGTTGATCAGATTTCGTGTGACTCTTGCTTCAATGGAAAAGTAATAGGTTGGTTGATAATCTAAGTATCTATCAGAATGTGTTGGCTTTCTAAAAATCTCTGTCTTTAATTTATTATTCTGGCATCTTTCACGATACATTCCAAAAAATCTAATTTTGGTAAGTTGAATTCAACTTTCATGGTAAAAGTAATACTTCCGGATTCATTATTTTAGATCAGACTTCTGTGCAGAATGCTGGAATTATTCTATTTCAAAGGCGATGTGAGTAGAGCCCGGGAACAGCAAGCCTGAGAAAACCAGGCAGGCTTCAGACATGGCCGTGGGTGTATCGATGAAATATTCACACTCTTCCAGGTTCCGGAATACAGACACGATTACTAACGCCCGACAACAGCTGTATTTCTAGACCTGAAGGTGGTATTTAACTCCGTCGACAGAGTAGTCCTATCAAATTGGTTCTCAATGAAAGGGGGTACTGAGTAATTACATAACTTCATTGAAGGCTTTTTACTCGCATACTGGTTGGCGGGTTAGAACCTATAGTGAGATGTTGGGTGAGCTGTGTTCGTCAAGGATCCTGACTCTCTCTATTCCTATTCACTTTTATCATGAACGTTCTTATAATCATATAGCCACACTAGGATTGATTTAATCACAGGGAAATGTTTAGTTGACCTAGATTACTCAGATGACATACTCCTGTTAGGCGAAGACACCGACAAGATGTAGAGTCTTCTGGATACCTTGATTGGCAGTTGGAGAATGTTTGGGATGCGTTTCTCCCCACTCAAAAGCAAATTGTTGCTCCAGGACTGCTCTTCAACCGTACCTTGGTTAGCAATACAGTACGTTGAACACTTCCTTTGCCTGAGAAGTCGGATCAGCCCCGATGACAGTGACCAACGAAATCTCTCTACGGATACAAAAGACTTGGTCGACTTTTGCCAACTTATGCCACTTGTGTCGCCGCTGTGATATCCGATTGTCTGTTAAAGGTTGAGCGTACTGTGCAGCATCCCGCTCTTTTCTTTTACTGTGTGGGTGTGAAGCGTGACCATTAAAGATAGAGGATAAGAGAAGTCTTCGGCTATTTGACCACTGTCGCCTTCTCGGCATAGACCGTGTTTCGTGGTGTCACCACGTGAGTAACGCAGAAGGCAGGCGTAGAGTTTTAAGGAGGAAAGTAGTCAGTTGATGTAATTGCGAGCTTCCATAGACTGAGATGGCTGGGACATGTGTTATGCATATCTAGTCAACTTCTGTTGGCGGAAGTAGGCCCAGGCTAGAAAAAATCTCAGAGCAGCCAGACTAAAACACAGCATCAATGCATGAATTCGTTGACTGTTGGTTTGAGCCATGTAGGGAGATGTAGGTTAGCCGGCTGGGGTCCACGAGACAAGAGAAATCAGTGGTTGGAGACTCTAGCTGGTATGGCTCAGAACTGATATCAGTGGAGCAGATGTATACGCACATTATCCTCATCTTAACCGCTACACTTAACCTCATCTTCCTATTCCTCCTTCCTCGCTTTTACTACTTTCTACTCCTACTTCCTTTGATTGATTCCTCTGTCTTTCTTTACCTTTCATTTCGTCGCCTTGTTACCTGATGTGCCGATATGAGGTGTGGCAACTTGGATCGTTACACAGTAACGTCTGGTCCTATGCTCCTTTTGATGATCATGATCTTCTGAGTCGAATGTCAATTATTTCTCGTGATCAAATGAAGTTTAGGAACTGTCTTACTTTCTAAATCTTAGTGCTTGCATGGTTCGCTGATAAGTGTCCAGAGGATAGGAATTTATCGAAAGCTGTTTCTGAAAACCTTTTCTCTGAGCAGCGGGAGTTATACAAAGTTCATCGCTTCAAGTGCTATACACGGGTCACTGGTAAAGTTATCTGGGCACCTAGTGACCTATCCAAAAATGAACCGCGTCTCATTCATGCGCAAACTGCATCTGAAATAGGGAGAATAGGAAGACAAAAATGGTTAGCTTAGAATGAGGGACTTACTTAGGGGCAGAGTTGGGTATCTGCAAGACAGAGAATAGGGAGACCGAAACAACGAATAAATATGCGAGCCAGGGAAACTTATATGCCTTCGAGGTTGAAGCCACCATAGCACTTTGAAAAGAACATAATGGTAAGGTTGTACAGGTCAAAGAGACTGAGACCAATTATTAAGTACACCAATGTTTCAGTTTCTTCATATATATTACAGACCATATATGCTCACAGTGGAGTAGTAGAGTATTCTAGACACCATGATCTCCTTTGCCTCTTCAGGATATCGTAAAGCTATACTTTTAAAAATACCTTGAGTTACCTCCGAATATAACTATCTCTTGTCACATACATTTAACTTTTCTCCACAGTTGTACTGCCTACAAGCGGTGTCATAAAAAAACTGACGCAAACATCCTAGTAACTGATAATTTTTACATTCAGTCTGTCTATTTTAAGACTTTTGGACATCAATAAAATGTAATTTTAAGGTCTAAAGTGTTAACCAATAAAGTGACATTATTCTGATTAAAAATAAGGGAATCCCCACAAAAATCAATCTATCAAGCATACAAATCGTATTCACAAGGTCTGTTATTCGTTCAATTTTAGTATATAAAAATGATATTAAAGTAGTTATTTATTGATACTTGTAATTTCTCGTTGATGTACTGCCTCAAAGTATTCAACGTCTGTTAGCAGATAGGCTTCTATGTGAATGCGTCGATAATGCGCGTTTTGAGTTCTACAGATAGCCATCAAGTGAACTACAACAGAATGAATATTCCGGTAGTATAGGAGACGTCTCCCATAGTAACGCGTATGCCAACAGAGGTCGAACAATTCGACCCAGTATAGCAACGTGAAATTACAAGTACCAATAAACCACAAATGATACCTGTTGCACATGATGAGGGCCCTTGCGTCCCAGTGACCTAGTGGATAATGTGTTGGTATTTGAAAAAATGAGTAGTGAGTTCGAATCTCAGGGAAAAACAGCATTCCTCACTACAGTGCAAGTGCAACCAGTTGACGATTCCCAAATAAGACGGAACATGAGGCCTGGATTCCACTGCAGGCTGTCAATTACACTACAACATGGTACTACAGCACTTAGTATCAGTTAGTTAGCAGATCAGTTGTCATTGTTTGACGGTCATATACAATGATCTTCGCGGTCAGTCTGATCTCAACGGGATGCGCAGACTCAGCTGACAGTTAAAGGATCGATATCGTTCCTCGGTGAAACTCACAAATAAAATTCGATTATGATCATAAGAAAGGTTTGAAATCCTTCAACTTGAATCATGTGTAGCCTTCTCGGTATCAAACTTGGTCAAGATGTAACTAAGATGAGCATTTTATCCAAAAATCGTTCTGAAATCGTTCTCATCATAGAGTTATGCGAGAGCCATACTTATTGCTAGAGAAACGACTAGGTAACATAAAATATTCGGAATAAAGTTCCTTTACCCCTCTACTAACCTCCATATTTTAGTCACTCTGTGCTTAGAAACAACTAACGAAACATTACTTCATCTCATAGATACAGTGTTATATACTTGACGGTTTTCAAATGCAATTTATCTCTGATAACTACACTACAGTAACCACAGAGCTTTCTTGCTTGATTTTCATAGTTCTTATCTCTTTCTCATCGTTACCTCATATGCAGTTATGTGCGAGTAATCTTACAGCTTCCGAGGAAAAGACGCTGTAAAAATCAAATTAGAATGTTGCACGATTTCTCCGGTGTTTTTATGAAAAATTCATCATTATTCAGGTTGGAGATTGATTGATTCCTAAGTGGTATTTATTACAATTTCTGACTAATATGGCGCTAACGATACCACTAACGTTCTACAACTTCTTAGTTGATTCCCGACCTGACTAATCAATGGAGAAGACATAGTAGAAACATATATGCACACCGAAGAATTGAAGTCATAAACAAAGGAGAATCTACGTAAACATATACATATTCCGGTGTTACAAAACAGTAATCTTGATTGACTAATCGTCTACCAGCTTAAATGTAGAAGTAATTAATATAAAGTACATCCTGATTGGTTCATTTTTAGCGGCTAGTGTGTTCGACTCGCTCATCAATATTGTTCTCAAAATATTATCCATCACTGCTCTACCACTATGTCAGAGTTTTGCTTCTATAACCTTCGTAGACTTTGACTTACTAACATTACTTAATACATTCACTGAAATATTTTCACTAGAGTATTTGAAAGTAGAAGTTGAGTCAAAAGTTGTTAGTAGTTTTGAAGATAACACTTCCCTGCTATTCATCTATTAACATCTATTATTGAACTAAACATGAACCGGATGTTTCTTGTTGATTAGAATACTTAAAGCAACTTTGGTTTACAGATTGATCTTTAAGGACAAGAAAGAGAACTGCGATCTATGAGAAAACTTGGAATACAACTTGGATATTAAGGTGGTTAAGGTTTTCTAATAGTTTTATATCTTATTATCTGCACGGTTCTTGTTATATCTGATTGATGACGAAATCTCAGTTCAGATGCAGTGGGTCTATTCGGAACTTTTCAACTTGCATCATACTATAGTGCTTGCTGGTGAGATAACAGACCATCTGTCAGAGGATGAGTATACTGCAGTGTAGTCCGTTCTATCTTAATAAAGGGTTTTTAAAAGTAGAAGACGTGAAGTGATTACAGGGTTTTGATCACTGGTGTCTTCGTAGCACTAGTCACGTTTGGTGAAATCACAGTGAGCGCAGTGCTAAGGTTAGGTGAGGGGTACTGGGCGATACAGAGAAGTCGATTGATGATGTTATAAACCTTATTCGATAAAAATGGCCTGAATATCTGCTGTGCATGCCAATCCACCACCTACCCCATAATGCAATGCTAGAGGAAGTTGGATTGGGTTGGAAGATGGTTCAGGGTGATGAGAACATGGCACCAGACAATGGATTCCCTGACTATTTTCCTGAGCCGTGTGTGGAGATGGAGACGGCCTGATTAGGGTCCACTAAATGAAATACATGAGTGGTTGAGGACATTTTGTAGCATGGCTGAAAATCGGTGGCAATGGCGCAGATGTTTGACGTCTTCTAAAGCTTGAATATTTACACTAACTGTTATCTTCAGATTAATTATTCTCTCATACAACTTTGTCTGATTTTATATTACTCTTTTTTTATCCATCTGTTCTTCATATTTTACTATGAATTGTAATAACATGAGCTGATGAAGTTGTATGTGAGATTCTATGTTGACTTTTTACGTTTGTCTGTCATAATGAATCATACCATCCTATTACTGCCCCTTGTTTAAATATGAAGTTATTGTTGCTTCAAGAACATTAATGTTTAATGAAGGAAACTCATGGTTAATCCTCACTTGAAGGAAATTCTTCCGTGTATAAGATTAATAGTATGTTTAAAGAGTAAAGTATTATAACATTTCGGTATGTCTTCACTAGCCTAAGTCACCTAAAGTTGATATACATCAAAGGCCTAGAGAATAATGACAAACATTCATTGTCAACATAACATTAAAGGTAAAAATAAACGCAAATTATATTGAATGAACTTACATTTGCTTATCATATCCAGTCGTATATTACTGTGTAGTGAGATCACCCTAGAGTTACATGATGTCATGAGAAACAACTTTTATTACACTATTATTACTACTACCTCACTACTCCTAGTGAGATCATAGGTGCATACTGCTGAGGATTCGCATACCAGGAAGAAACAGCTGTCCAGTGCTCCCAGGTTTTCAGTGGACTTCCAATTGATGTCTGTCCGCGATAACCACTACCTTACTATTACTATTATTATTTTATTTCATTTAAATTGTAATCTTAGCAACTACTGGAATCAGAAATATCAGATTTGGAATCAATATGGAATCAAATTGATAAGGAATATGCGGAGAGAAGAAATGCAATTAGCAATTTGGAGAATCAACTGTTAACGCATGAGAGGAAACGTGTTGACAAGGTGAAGTATGAATAAATACATAAAATGTTTAAAGTTATTATCTGCTCAGTTCCCTCCAGTATATATATATATATATATATACCATAAAGATTAAGTAAGTGTATTTAGTGAGTTAATAGTGCAAGTATAACTTCTGAGGTTACTGGGAAGCTTTATTCTTAAAGTAGTTTTCGTGATGCATTGACATGCTTCTCTAGTTGATGTCAGCTGATTAATAAAATCCCAACTCACCTCAAAATATAATACAACATGGTCCTCATTAGTGACATGCTTCTATATAGAAATCACAAAGTTCTAATGAGAAGCTGAGACCTGTGGGGTCAATCAGTCGGAAGTGAAGCGAAAGCCAACTGAAGGCCTAGAGTGATAGTCGTGCTATATTACGATTTAACAGAAGTAAGGAACTATTGACTGTTGACCTCTGACCCAGTAGCTGAATAGTTTATGCATTCGCTGTAAAACCTGAAGGTCCTGAGTTCGACCCGTGGACTGGCGAGGTCATGGGTATATACGTCTGAGTCCTATGCTAGAACGGAATAGTTACCCAATGTTTCCAGGTTTTCAATGATTCACCAATTGATGTAAATTTGTGATGAACACTACCTTAGAAATAGTGATTGATTTTGAAATTTTTGTTTCAAAACTGGATAAAAATATAAAATTTTCAAAAGGCTAATACTCAGTGATAAAATTAATGACTACCTTTGAAGTTAGAAGCTAACAACTACCTCTTTTAGGATGCATAAACTGGGTTTAATTCTGCAAATCTTGTGAGTTAGCAATGTTTCCTTTTCTTCATCATCATGATCTCAATTTCATATCATGTATCCATCAGATGTTTATTAATGGAACTATTAAGATAAATTGGATCATTTAGGCTTAACTTATACGAAATGTATTCATATATTCAACTTTCAGCCCTCTTCTCCGTTTTTCTGATATACATCCTATGACATCTACACGGGAATTCATAAATACAATATGAGATGATAGAAGCCGGAAAGCTGTCGACTTTAAATTGTTGTAGTGAACACTATGCTTTACTTATAGAGACTAAATTAGGTTCTGGGAAAAAGGTTTTTTATTATTCTTTTACCGATTCCGATTCCTGATACAAAGAAAAGAATAGTCTGGAAAGGGACCAATCTAAATGTATTTTATGTTAACGCATCTACGGTTCGACAAACAGATGATGGATCAGTCAATCAATAGTATTATCTTAAAGGTCGAACTATCTGTATATTAGACATATTTTCCTTTGTTATTGTATTCGATATTCTCGATTTAACTACATGTTTCTACACATATATTGTGTCTTCTTTAGTATTTCAAGTTGTTATTTATCGTAGACTGACATCAGTTGTAGGATCGAAGGAAACCTGGGAGAACTGGACGGTTGTTTCGTTCTAGTATGGGACTCCTGAGAAGTGCGCACCCACTACCCGGCACCAATAGGGATCGAACCCGCGACTTTCAGGTCCCGTGGCCAGCACGTCACCATTGAATGCAGTTTCAACATTTTTTTGAGTAGTAGTACTTAGATTATTCGTTTGGTTCTAGCTAGGGAAGGCTGATAAGTCAATGACTTGGTGAATATGCAACAAGTGAATCTAGTACTTCATAGATTTGGATTCATTCAGCAAAATGCAGGTATTAGTCGGATCAAATGAACGTTTTACGACAGAATAAGACTCGACAACTGATTGTAAGATGCATGGTGATGGATAATGGCCGACTTTAGTCCTTAAAATTTCGAAAGTCGATGAATAAAAGAAAACATGAAATGTTATAACTCAAAATCAGTGACATTGTCAAATTTCTGGTCTCTTATTATTGTCTCCTAACTTTTTCGGTATTTCTACCTGCAACTCTTTTGTTTAGTTTAATTATGGTTTGTACTTTACTTAGTGATGCTTGTAACTTCTCGTTACTATACTGAATCAAATTACTTGACCTTTCTTAGCATACAGACTCCTTTGTAAATGCTTCGTTATTGCCTTAATATTCATTATGCCTCAATGGTCTAATGAACAACGTTATGGCAACTGAGTACGAGTCTCACTGGGGATATGATCACTCACTGAGGTGCAGGCATATTCAGCTGACGAGCCCGAAATAGAACGAAACTTATGTTCTGTCTTTTAATGCTAGCCACTAAGACCACTACAGTCATGTGTACTTGTCTAACTTCTCTTCTCGTACTGTTTTAAAGCATTTCATTGTTAACTAATATGCCTGTGTTTTGGTTGTATTATGTTCTCTGAGCTAGGTTGTTTAATCATGAAGCTTTCATCCTCTTTCTATACAACATCATCAGCACTAACTTCAGTATGAAGTACGATTAAACAACCCAGCTCAGAGAACACAATACAATCAAAACCATCCACTTGAGCTAAAAATATTCTCCAATATACCTATATACCCGATTCAAAGTTCTCATGCTTTCCTCTGTTTTGTATTAAAAGATTTATATTGTACGAAGAATAAATAATTTTTTTTATCTCTCCTTTTTTTTCTTTCCGCATATATTTTAATGTATCCATTTCGACATACAGATTAAAGAAGAATTTCATCTACTGATAGATTATCTAAGCAAATATTCACATTTGCCACCGAATGAATTACAATTGTTCTTACAAAAGGAGATATTTGTAAGTTGAAGAATTGAATTACCACCTTTATCGAGTTATAAACATCTAAATCACAGTTATTAAGAATATTTTGTAGGAAGTTGATCACCGAATCTGATATAATCATTATCAGAATATATTTTAATATAATCCCAGAGTGTTCAGAAAATCAAAACATGATATTTCAGTTGGTTCAAGAGGAATCATCATTTTATAGACTTACGGTCCACCATAGAATTTAGTGTTCGTGTTTCTCTTAGGAGTTAGTGAAAACCATGTTGACTTTCTAAGTTTCATTTTATTTCATGAAAATATCTTGAAACACTTTGGAATTATATTAAAAAAGATTCTTATACAGTTAAATGTGTAAGGTGCCATTTTTCACCTTAGACGGATATTACATTAATTGAGACAGTGTCATGTACATAATAATGAAGGAATAGAGTGGAATTACTTGGCATACGATAAAGTAAAATATGTCACTGAAGTAAAGTGTAAGTTTAGAGTTATAGGGAATTCAATACCTTCACAGTACATGTTTGAGCAAGGTTTGTATTGATCAAAATTAGTTTTACCTATTATAGACCATAGTGACAATAATCTCATTAAAGGTTGGAGTCTACTGTGCTCTTAATGGAGAGTAACAAGTAGCTTCTTTCGGACTTTGCTGAAAGTCCAGTTGACTCATCTGTAAAAGAATATTGTCCTTACTTGAGTACAATGCTGTGAAGTATTCACATTTAAGTTCCTAGTGGGACCTACGGCGTCACTAGCACGCATCCATTCCACTCTCTTCTCTACACTACACTCAAACTGGCTCCACCACAGCCAACAACCTCTCATTACTTCATCACATCACCTCCTCCATGTCACACAAGGACACACAACTCGTCCTTTCTCCCTCGGCATTCAACTCGACGGCCTCACCTGATGCACCATCTCCACAATCAGTCTTCTCACTGTATACCCAATCCAATCAATCTCCACATTCTACCACCGCATATTTGTTCGACGATGGGCTCTTGCTTGGTTGGTTGGTTGCCAGGTCAGACAGAGTTCCTCCTTGATTATTCTTATCATTCTGACACTCTGATCTCATCTTCAGTATCCAGTGAGCATAGGCGGCAACTGTTGAAACATATCTGCAGTTTGTTGGAAATGCTTTTCGTGATGCGCCAACTCTCTCAACCATCACATAGAAGCACTGACTTACTTGATTGAATTAGTGTTGAAAATCTTCATCTTGTTCACGCTTTATGCTGAGTGTAGTGTAGTGTAGTGTAGTGTAGTGTAGTGTAGTGCAGTGGATCTCCACACAAGTCTCAGATCAATGCAGGAAGGCATGTCTTGCTGTCTTTCCCATCCTGACATTCACATCCTCATCTGTGCCTGCGCCACCTGTAGTTGAGACGATGCTGCCGACGTAGGTGGGTAGGTGAAAGAGACAACTTCCTTCACGTGTCTCTCGTTTATGGTGACTGGACCTTGTTGTTGTTGATGCTGTTGTTTATGGTTGGGTATCTTCATCATCTCTGTCTTCTCTACAATCACTTGAAGTCGCGTTTTCGCTGCCCTGCCTCTTCTGTCAACTTGTTGGTTTTTGTCTGTAGATTTTCGAGTTTGTGTGACATTGGACATCAGATATAAATGATCATGGGCGAAATGCAAATCTTCTTCTGTGGTCTTTTCATCGGTTCAGCCAGTGTATGCCTATCTTCTTGCTTCATACAGTTTGCTGTAAGATTTATTCCACCACGATCAGTAATGTCATGGGTGATAGTAGTATTCAAGAGAGTGAAAATTCAGTTCATCTGTTTTATTCAGTAAATGGAATATTTACGTGAACAATCATGATGTTTGAAACAGTCAGTCCTTTTGATGAATTTACATAATGTAATAAGTAGAAGGAGATTATCTTAGAAATGTGTTGATGTATTTGTGCAACACATATAGAAAAATTTGATCATGCATTTACTTGTCAAGGTATTTATTATGAAGGATGAAAATAGAGTGGGGTAAGATAAGTAAACTACGGTAATACAAGATTGGGATTATATTTTGGGATAATAAGGAAGAATAATACACTTTCACATCTCCATTGGGATTAAAATCAATTAAAGATTACCAAAGCAGATTTAAGGTAAGGACAGATTGCTTTTGAATACACAAAGGGAGTTTTAACTTTCTTATAGCTTAACCATCAATGAACCTAAGTATATGGTTTTAACAGCTCCCGTATAATGGTCTAAAGGCTATTTTGGAATCAATCCTTTTTCCTGTTTCTGTTATGTGTTCATGTATCATGGATGATGTGTGTCTGCCCCTATGTATCTATCGCATTACTTCAAATGTGATATATTCGGAGAATGATCTCGCCGAAACCGTATTACTTCACTCTAGAATCCTTCTTTTTCATAAGAAGGAATGGTTAAAAAAAGAATTAAAAATCTGTTTCATACTGTCATTTGAAATTGTTGGCTTTTGACTGTTTCTAATCTTTTCAAGATCATATTGGTTAATCCAGTCTAAAAGATATAATATCAAAGTTATGGACAGATTCAATTATTTGTTGGTTGTTACTCTGCATTACTGCATGTAGGCAACTTTGTTTAATCATTATTATTATCATCATTATTTTATTATTTATCCCTTAGGTTCCTAGTGGAACATAGGGCTTCACTAGCACGTCTCCATTCCACTCTCTAATCTGCAATCTTTTGGACCTGGCTCAACGACTGCCCACAAGCTTTCATTTCTTCCTCACACCATCTCCTCTATGTCACCCTTCGACACCCAACTCGCCGTTCCCCATCAGTAACGAGCGTAGGCAGTTGTTGATGAACATCTATAGTTTGTTGGAAATCCCTTTCTAAAAAAGGCCAATTTGTTCAACCATCACATGGAAGCAATGACTTGACTGAATTAATGTTGAAAATCTGGATCTTGTTCACGCTTTATGCTGAGTGGAGTGCAGAAGATCTCCACACTGGTTTCAGATTAATGAATGCCTGTCTTGCTGTCTTTGTGATCCTGGTTTTGACGTCCTCGTCTGTGGCGCTGCCTGTAGTTGAAACGGTGCTGCCTAGGTAGGTGAAAGAGGCTACTTGCATTAGATTTCTCCCATTGATGGTGATTGGAGCTTGTTGTTGTTGGTGATGGCGTTGGTTGTGTATCTTCATCACCTCCGTCTTCTCTACATTCACTTGAAGGGAGTCCCATATTCGCTACCCTGCCTCTTCTGTCAACTTGTTAGTTTTTGCCTGCAGATCTGCAAGTTTGTGTGACATTAAACACAAGTCTTCAGCGAAATCCAAATCTTTTAGGATCTTTTCTCCTGTCTAGCGTGTCCCCGTCTTCTAGCTCCTCACTGTTTGTTGCACGGTCCAATCGACCACAATCAGGAATATCATGGGTGATAGTAGACAGCCTTGTTTTACTCCTGTCTTCACTTCAAAAGCATCACTGACCTTCCCATTGTGAATTACTTGGCATATGGTGTCTTCATATAGTTGTTGAATGAGGTTGATAAAGCTTTGTGGCACTAAAACCTTAGTGTTGAAGCAGTTTGCAAATTGCTTGTTGGTCTATGCTGTCGAAGGACTTTTCAAAGTCGATGAAGTTGTTTAATAGTCCCTCCTAAACACGTTAAGCAAAAATTAAGTTAAACAGATTTCATTATACGTAATTAAATTCATCTGTGTGTCTGATAGCTGAATGAAATTAACCCATGAATTAACCATAAGCTTGTGATGATCATCGTTGCGATCAACTGAAGTATATTTTCACTGATAATGTCCAACTTAAATTCTGTTCAAGAAAACTATTGTTTTCCAACTTACCAGACTGACACAATACATGGGTATCAATCATAAGTGACTGAAACTGCTGCTAAGCAAGCTACTCAACAACTATATGTAGGTTTATGCAGTAGTGTGTAAAGGTATATTATACTTCTCGATTGCTGACACCTTAGTAGGTGGAATGGGGTTTGGATCTATGACCCAGTGGTTGAAAATCAAGTATTAAGTCCAATGAACTACATCCCAGCAATGAAATTTACGACATTAGTACTTATTCGTGAATTCGCATACAAAACTTGTAAATTGGTTGTGCATTATTGGATGAGGTTGTGTTTATTTTCTTCTTAATGTTCACAGAGTACTCAACTTCAATAACCAAGTTTACTAATACAAAATATTCTGTAAGAAAGATTCAGACAAGTTAGAATAAAAAATGAAATAAACTAATAAGCTTGCTTAAGAATATTTCAATGAAGTAAGTTTACGGTTACCCCTCCAAAAAAGATTCTCATATAACTACATTGATCACCATCACTCTTAAGTAAATTGAACGTGATGTCATTATAAAATTGTCCATTTTACTTATTGTCATCCATGTATGGCAGATTGTTCTGCCTTCTTTTTTTGTCGAGAACTTCGACAAGCTGATGAAAGCAAATTATTGTTATTATTATTTGTCCCTTGGGTTCCTAATGGAACATAGGGCTTCAGTAGCACGTCTCCAATGCTCTCTGTCCCCTGAAATCTTTTGAACGTGACTCCATGACAGCCCAGAAGCTCTCATGATCTCCTCCATGTCACCCTCGGACACCCAACTAGTCGCAAATTGGTAACGAGAAAAGATGAGGATAAGTAATAATCATCACATAAATTAATTAGATAATACCTTCATCATTACAAACGAAGGGGGAATGAAATACATAATTTCACACTTCAAGAAAAACCGCAATCGGCTACTTAACTGAAATCAAATCACATGTCTTAGGGTATACATCCGGAAATGTCTTTCCACCTAAGTGTACACCTGAATATATAACCTAGCGGTATTTAATGTTTCGTAAGAAGTGGGTGTCAATTTGATTTTTTAAATATTCATAATTCACATTATGACATCGAAAATAAGATATTCAGCCAAAAGCACCCTTTTCGACCAGTTTTTTCTGCGCATATATATATATATATATATGATGATATGATATGATATGATATGAGGTGTTCATCAACCTGAAACGAGTGTGGAGATCTACTGCATTCAGCATAAAGCGTGAACGAGATCCAGATTTTCAACACTAACGTTAACTAAGTCACTTCTTTTATATGGTTGAGCAACTTGGCGCGTTACGAAAGGCATTTCCAACAAACTACAGACATTCATCAACAAATGCCTACGCTCGTTACTGAAGCTTAGATAACCAAAAAGAATAAGCAAGGAGGAACTCTGGCTGACCTGGCAATGAACCAACGAAGCAAGAACCTATCGCCCAACAAATATGCAGTGGAAGAAAGTGGAGATGGATTGGGCATGCACTGGGAAGACCATTTGAGGGCATCACGTGCCAGGCACTCTAATGGAACCCAGATGGGAAACGGCGAGTTGGACCTTCGAGGTGAGGGTGACATGGAGGAGATGGTGTGAGGCGGAAATGAGAGCTTGTGGGCAGTGGTGGCGCCAGGTTGAAAAGACTGCAGATTAGAGAGTGGAATGGAGACGTGCTGCTGAAGCCCGATGTTGCACTAGGGACCCAAGCGATAAAGAATATAATATAATAATGATATGATACACAGGGTCTTCATAGCTCAGTTGGTGAAGCATCAGGCTGGAAACTCGGTGGTCGCTTGTTCGAATCTGGCAGCGGTTGAAATTTTCATCTCACCTTCAATCATAACCCAGTGTAATTACTAGTCTGTCAAACTATGGCTATCTCAGATAGTGAAATGAAAAACATTTTCAATTTGTTCCAAGTAACTTGTCTCACTCATATTACCTGATCCTTTGATAGTTTATCAACTCTACCATGTTTTTATCCCTCTGAAATGTATATGCACCGTATAAATGATTTAAAAAAATCTTATGTAACACTCTGTGTTCTCACTCAGACTTAACGTCATCAACTGGCAACATTATTATTATAACCACCATTACTGTTATTCCACTATCTGGGAAGAGATCAACACAGATGAAACCAATGAAAGATAGTTAAGGAAACCTAGTTACCAAGGCGGAGAAACAAAAGAAATGATAGGATGACCACTTTAAAAAACTCTTGAATCGACCGCCAACACTACCTGCAACTCGTCCCAAAATACCACTAGCAGCCAAGCTAAAGACATACTAGCGAACACAAGCACTCTGACAAAAGCAGAAGTGAAGTTCTAAATGCAATAAAGTTGTTGAAATCCCCGAAAGCAGTAGGACCAGATGGAATTCCGTCAGAAGCACTGAAAACAGACTCAGAGACAACAGTAGCGGACATCCTCACACTACTAATGCAGAAGGTTTGCAAGCAAGGAAGGAAACGTACCTGCCGAGTGGAAGAAGGACTATCTTGTCAAACTTTCAGAGAAGGGAAACCTAAGTATTTGCAAGAACTGGCGCGGAACCGTGCTGCTGTCCACCACAACCAAAATGATAAGCTACATCATCCTGGAGAGACTACAGGATGTGCTGGATTCAAAATTATGACCGGAAAAGGCTGGCTGGATTCAGGAAGAACAAATCATGTGTGGACCTAATTGCAACGCCACGCTGCGCATCATCATAGAACAAAACATAGAACGGCAGTCCACTGTACCTGTACCTCAGCATCATCCACTTTGAAAAGGCATTCGACAGCGTCGACCGAGAAGTAATTTGACAGCTGCTTCAACACTATGGAGTGCCACAAACCTTTATCAATCTCATTCAACAGCTGTATGAAGACGCCACATGCAAAGTAATTCACAATGGGAAGCTCAATGACGCCTTTGAAGTGAAGTGAAAACAGGAGTAAGACCAGGCTGCCTACTACCATCGATCATCTTCCTAATTGTGGTCGACTGGACTGAACTGGATCATGCAAGAAACAACTGTGAGGAGCGAGAATGTGGGCATTCACTGGCGGAACCGATGAAAAGACCACAGAAGAAGATTTGCATTTCGCCCATGATCACTTATATCTGGTGTCCAATGTCGCACAAACTCGAAAATCTACAGTCAAAAACCAACAAGTTGACAGAAGAGGCAGGGCAGCGAAAACGCGACTTCAAGTGATTGTAGAGAAGACAGAGATGATGAAGACACCCAACCGTAAACAACAGCATCAACAACAACAACAACAAGCTCCAATCACCATGAACGGGAGACATGTGAAGGAAGTTGTCTCTTTCACCTACCCACCTACGTCGGCAGCATCGTCTCAACTACAGGTGGCGCAGGCACAGATGAGGATGTGAATGTCAGGATGGGAAAGACAGTAAGACATGCCTTCCTGCATTGGTCTGAGACTTGTGTGGAGATCCACTGCACTGCACTGCATTACACTACACTACACTACACTACACTACACTACACTACACTATACTCAACATAAAGCGTGAAGAAGATGCAGATTTTCAACACTAATTCAATCAAGTAAGTCAGTGCTTCTATGTGATGGTTGAGAGAGTTGGCGCATCACGAAAAGCATTTCCAACAAACTGCAGATATGTTTCAACAGTTGCCGCCTATGCTCACTGGATACTGAAGATGAGATCAGAGTGTCAGAATAATAAGAATAATCAAGGAGGAACTCTGTCTGACCTGGCAACCAACCAACCAAGCAGGAACCTATCACCCAACAAATATGCGGTGGTAGAATGTGGAGATTGATTGGGTTGGGTATACAGTGAGAAGACTGATTGTGGAGATGGTGCATCAGGTGAGGCCGTCGAGTTGAATGCCGAGGGAGAAAGGACGAGTTGTGTGTCTTTGGGTGACATGGATGAGGTGATGTGATGAAGTAATGAGAGGTTGTTGGCTGTGGTGGAGTCAGTTTGAGTGTAGTGTAGAGAAGAGAGTGGAATGGATGCGTGCTAGTGAAGCCGTATGTCCCACTAGGAAACCAGGAGAGATGTAGTAAAAACGTATTGTTATCCCAACCTCCCGTTATTTAAGTTAATAACGTGATATGTCTAGCAGTTGAATGCATGACTTGCATTTCGTCCTATTTGTGACTCATCAGCTGAATGTTTATATCTCCCATAATAGAAGTTAAATTTCGCTCATTTAATGTAATTTATATATGTATGCTCAGCATGTGAATGAATTTTTTCGAAAATTGTCTTCTTATGCTGAATATCTTGTTTGCAATATTCAATGCTATCATCTATTTCTATCGAAACATTTAACATTCATCTTTATATTTAACTAAACTTTTTCATTAGTGCATAGATATAGATCTATTAGAAAATCGTCGTGAATTAGCAAATTTAACTAGAAATCTTCATCTTGCTGAACTTATCAATCATCGTTTCACTAATCTTGCCTGGTCTAATTACCGAAATCACTGGCAGAAAATAAATATTGACGAGGCTGTGCGCAGTTTTAAGTAAGTTGACCATTTATTATTGACTATTGCTTTTCTAATCGATAGTGTTTCCCTGTTTTGTATAAGAAATAATTAATTATTTTGTAATTTGTGTAAATTCTATTATTTCTCTTAGCTAGTCAATGTTACAACGGCTTCCACAATGAACAGTAAGGCATGAGAAACAGAATGTTCGATATTAAAGTTTATTTTCGATAGTTAGTTCTGTGTTTTGATCAACAAGTGTTAGTTCGTTGGGGGTAGTCGATAGGTAGTTCATTAGTAATACCATTGATTGCGGCAATAAATGACTTATTTTAGGATAACCTAGGAGACCTTACTTCTTTAGAGTTTACAGATATCGCTTACTGATGATTCCCAACAGATGTAAAACGTGATTCAAGCAGGATTTTCTACCGTTGCCTTCATCCAACTGACATTGATTAAAGGGAACACTGATACATAATTTACTACCTTAATGGTCACGTTTCAAAATGATCGATAATATCCTACCAGTGTTCAAGATTTGGCAATATGAAACTGGTTATTCTCCAGAGACGAATCAGTGTATAGTCTTTAACTGGTATGATTAAAGTTCACTAAGTCTCCCGAAAACTTTAATTATTCATCATTAGTCCCAAAACAATACCAACGATCAACACAGCAAATAGTATTAGTACCCTGATCTTGCGTTGAAAATCGAATCTTTGATCAGGTAAGGTTTCAGCTGATGAAAAATTGCTTTTGAATATTTCAAATTGGCTAATACTTCGATAAACTTTAACATATGTAGTACAGGATGATGTTCTGATGCTCCACCAACTGAGTTACGGAACCCAGTTACTGACCATGTCCTAATGTCACTTTAGTCGCCAAGAGTTATGCCCTGCTGCTACATAAATCTGTGATACATAATTGTCTGTTTATCTAATTCAATAGGGCTTGGTATGAGCGTTCGTATCCCTACGCAAATCAAGTTGATTTAAAGAGGGTGGGGACCATTATATGGATTATCAATGAGACTATCTAAGATAGTTATGGATTGGCAGGCTTGTACGGCATACTGATTGTCTTTAACATGTTATACAGATACACTTAAATGATGTCTATACATCCGTTTCTTATCCACTTTCAGTAGTGTATTTAGCGGCTGAAAAACTCAAATGGTTAGGTCACAGCATTTATCTGGTAGGGTGACTTCATTTGTTTCTAAAGCCATTTAGGAATGTGTTCTATGGTGCTTATTTCTTTTTATTGATCAATAAGGCCTTCTCAAGTATGTATGACCATACAAAGCGAAGTTTTCTGATAAACTAATATAATCTAGTAAATAATACTATGTTATATCAAATAATGTATAAAATTATACGCTATCATGATGTCTAAACTCTACTCTTGCATTAATATCATCTTCTTGTCAGTTTACATTGATATTGTTTTGTTTAATTTTTTCCCAACTATAAGACTGAAAGATTCAAAGAATGTAATTATATCTATGGGAAAAGATATATTTCATATTTTAAGTGTATCGCTTAATTAAAGTAGGTTAGCTGGATATAACGTAGTAGGAGTTATTCCCGGTGTATCTGCAGTATCGATACCGGTAACCTATGAGTTAATACAGAAGTGTATCATCCAATCTGTTACATTTAGACAATTCAACTAAACAAAAAGTTAAGAAAAGTAAATAGAAGTATAATCTATGATTGATATGCTTCATTGAAGCCTAGTGAATGATGTTTTGGCGTTTGAAAAGAAGTGTTGGGTTCGAGTTATAGTGGAAACAATATCGTTCACCAGAATGCAGATATATTTGGCTGACGAGTCTCAACTAGGACGAAACGTGCATCATGCATTCCACTACCAGGCAAAATCAAATCAGAAATAAAAAAAACATTCACTTTTGAGGCAATATCTAGGCGCTGGCTGAGATAATGAAAATCGAATACATAATGAAATAGAAAACAGTGGGGAACTCAGCTCAAATTATGTTTCCAGTTTTTTGGTACTCACCAGAAATATGAATCTGTAATCTCAAGGGGATTGATGACTTCCTGAGAGATTCGAATCCGCGTCACCCAGGGTAGCAGTCTGAAATGTTGTCACTGAGCTATTCATGTTGCAATTAACCTCGTTTATGACTGAACTAGATACATTAATTGGTCACTGGATAGTAACCACTGATTTCATGTTTTCTTGTTCTAAGTGCTGACCGAATTCCATTGATCACTCCCTAATATAGACAACAAGCCATGGGAATAAGCATCATGGTACACTGTAATGCATGTTGACTGGATGGAAGCAATCGGTGGAATGCAGCCGTACTTTACCTAGGTTTCATGCTTGTTTGCAGTATATGTTTCTACTGCAATGCAACTGACTTTGAATCATTTCACCCAATATCTTCAATACAAATTTGCTACGGTGAAGAATACTCGTAGCTCAGGTGGACGGTCTTGTTGGTATTGTCTTTTCTGAAGTGGGTTGTTTAATCGTCGAGCTTTCATCGTCTTTCTAGATGACATCATCACCGCAAGTTTAGTATGAAGTGAGTTGTCAGTATCTCTCCGGGAGTGATTTAGTACCTTGCCCTGACCAACTGGTTTGTTACTGTTTGTTTCCTTTGATTGTTGTGTCATCAACTGACTGTATAGATTTTCCTGTTGGCTGCTCCTCTCTTTGATCTCTCACCTTTCTGTCGTTTATCACTTTTTATATTGGTTGATAGATTGGGTCTGTGTCTATACATCTATTGATTGTTGATGGACTGACGTGAATTTGAAGCTTCCAAGAATTCTCACAGAAATTCCCTCCAATCACATTGATGCAGACCAGTGGATGCGACAACCAAAGAAGATAGACAGAAGATCATTTACAAAATCAACTACAGTAACTGTAGTCAACACACCACATTGGACAAAGTGGTCGCCCCACATTCGCCTTCGTCTACATAAACACCAATTGGCTATTAAACGTCATGACATTTCATCTCTCATTTCAATGCACGTGTATAACAAAGATGGACATGAATTCAATTTAGACAATGTAGAAATGTTGGATGGAGAGAGGAAAGACAAAGAATGTCAGGGAATTCCTAGAAGCTTGGAGTTCTCGTCAGTCCGTCAACAATCAATAGATGTATAGACACAGACCCAATCTATCAACCAATGAGAAAATTGATAAACGACAGAAAGGTGAGAGGTCAAGCAGGGGGACAGACAACAAGAAAATCTATACAGTCAGTTGATGACACCACAATCAAAGGGAACAACCAACCAAAAACCAGTTTGTCAGGGCAAACTACTGAATCACTCACGGAGAGAAATTGACAGCTCACCTCATACTCAAGTTAGTAGTGATGACGTCGTCTAGAAAGATGATGCAAGCTCCACGATTGAGCAACACAGCTCAGAGAACAATGCAACCAAAAGTTTCCTGCATTTTACAGGGTCTTAATATGTAACTATTCAGCATCATAGATAAACCTCATTCGAAGCCTTAAGCCTGATGCCATACAGAATTATCTTGCAGTTGGGTTTTCATAGCTTCTGAGAAATGGTGACATTCACCATTACAGTTTGAAATTTTACGAATTCAATCGACTGTTTGCGTCTTAAACCGTGTTTACTTCCTTATGAATATAAGAAATATTTAGCTCGTTGAAGTTCAACCTGTAAGAATTCACTCTTCTCATATTCTGCTTCAAATTGTTATTTATTTGACAGCAAACAAACTACATCTAAGGTCTTAAATTTAACCGGATAGAACTAAATTTTAGTGACAGGAAACCTTAAGGACGACCAATCAGGTTGCAGGTGATGCGTATGACTCCCTTACGTCCATTTACCATGTTGCTGACGCTGAATAGGCTGTTTATAAACGACGATGAAGATTAAGTTGTAAGCTATTTACAGATAGTTGATTCGTGAATGTGATCATGTAATGGGCTGTGTAACTAACGTACCAAACGTAAGTATAACCGAGAAAGATGACTTAAACAGGACTGAGTAAGTTACATAAATATGTTTTAAAGAATCGGAGATTCTTGGTGTATACAATCGAAATACGACGACGGGGTCTTTTTTTTGAAGGATAGATAACAAGAACCCATCCTACCAATTATAGAAAAAATGAGTAGGATCGGGTACTATAACATAAACAGATGCTTGAAAGTAGTTTGCTTCATCATCTGAAATGGGTTATCTCCATGACGTTATTTTTCAAAAAAGCACTTTGTTGACCCGACAACTACATCGCACACAAATAACGTTGAAAATATGTGGAGTCATCTCTGAAAAGTTTTGGAAATTTCAGTAGGATCGTAAGGCCTCCTGATCCTCTAGGGGATACGATATAGTCTCTTATGGATGAGTAGCAATACACGAAATGGTATGACTTCAGAGATGATAAATCTCTTGGGAATCTAAATATCTTTATTTCACATTTAAATGAAGTATCACTTTCCCTCATATACTCGATCCTGATTGGTCAGTGCATATTTGAACGTGATTGGCTGTAACTAAAGTTAAGTTCTACGCTTAACTGTTATAATGAAGTGATTGATGACAAATGTTTTATTACATTCAATTATTGTTATTGTCAATAAAGAACAGGTTTGTAGTCAAATTTATATAACGCAGTTTGCAACTACATATGCATGGACTCGTAAATTGTATCCTCAAGATTTCAGCCCAAGTGTTCACTTGAATCTTCGCAAATGAAATTTCAGTACAATCATAAGAGGTTCATTGTCAGCCTAATTATGTTCAAGGTTATGCTGCTTTGGAAGATCTACAACCAGAAACTAACAAGTTGACAGAAGAGGCATGGCAGTGAAGACGGGACTTCAGGTGAACGTAGAGAAGACAGAGATGATGAAGATACCCAACCAACGCCACCACCACCAACGGGAGAAACGAAGACGAAGTAGCCTCTTTCACCTATCCACCTACCTGGGCAACATCGTTCCAACTATAGGCGGTGGCAGAGATGAGGATATAAAAGCCAGCCAGGATCAGAGAGACAGCAAGACAGGCGTTCATTAATCTGAAATCAGTGTGGAGATCTATTGTGCTCAGCATAAAGCGTGAACAAGATGCTGATTTTCAACACTAATTCAGTCAAGTCAGTGCTTCTATTTGATGGTTGGGACCTGGTGCGTTACATAAAGCATTTCCAACAAACTGTAGATATTCATCAACAACTGCCTACGCTCGATACTGAAGATCAGATGGCCAGAAAGAATAAGCAACAAGGAACTCTGGCCGGGTAAGAAACCAACCAACAACCTATCAACCAATAAATATGCATTGAAAGAAAGTAGAGATGGATTGGACATGCAGTGAGAAAATCATTCGGGGACATCACGCGCCAGGCCAAGCACTCAAGTGGAACCCAGATGGGAAAAGACGAGTTGGGCGTCCGAGGTTAGGGTAACATGGAGGAGATGGTGTATGAGGAATAAATGAGAGCTTATGGGCAGTCGTGAAGCAAGATTAAAAAGATTGCAGAGAAGAGAGTGTAATGGCGACGTGCTAGTGAAGCCCCATGTTCCACTAGGAACCCAAGGGACAAATAATAATAATAATCATTCTGTTTAGAAACTATTTTAGTAGACAGTATTGTCATTGTTTATTTATGAACTCATCCAATCAGATAATCATATGTGTGGTGACTATTACCCTTTGTAAAGAATTTTCATGTAAATGTGACTGGTTCTGAATGCTTTCAGAGATTTCGGGTCTTCCTGAATGATCTATGGCATGGTACTATCTTCCATGGTATATATAACCTCGTTTTTGCATGTCATGATACTCTTCAGAAATGTAATGGTGTTTACGACTATACCATATACGAAAATGGCAGTTGCTTTATGTTAGTCGGCAAACTGTTATTTTGTTGTTGTCTCAGAGAGTACTTCAAATTAGATTCTTTTGAATAAAATACAATGGAAGCTGAAGCTATAGGAAAGACGATTTTCTCAACAGAGAATTTTGGTAAGATAGGTGAACAAATCAATGTGGAGATCTACTGCACTCAGCACAAAGAACAAGATCCTGATTTTCAACACCAATGTCAAGTCAGTGCTGTTATATGGTTTAGAAACTTGGCGCATCACGAAAAGCATTTCCAACAAACTACAGACATTCATCAACAGCTGTTGCCTATGCTCACTCGATACTGAAGATGAGATCAGAGTGTCAGAATAATAAGAACAGTCAAAGTGGAACTCTGCCTGACCTGGCAACGAACCAACCAACCAAGAGCCCATCATCCAAGAAATATGCAGTGGAAGAATGTGGAGATTGATTGGATTGGGTATACAGTGAGAAGACTGATTGTGGAGATGGTGCATCAGGTGAGGCCGTCGAGTTGAATGCCGAGGGAGAAAGGATGAGTTGTGTGTCCTTGGTTGACATGGATGAGGTGATATGATGAAGTAATGAGAGGTTGTTGGCGGTGTTGGAGTCAGTTTGAGTGTAGTGTAGAGAAGAGAGTGGAATGGGTGCGTGCTAGTGAAGCCGTATGTTCCGCTAGGGAACTCAAAGAAAAAATAAGTAAGTAAATAAACAAGGTGCACAAACAGATGCGCAAGACAGCGTTGAACTTAGAACAATAATGCGACAATTTGAATTTCTCATAGTTTATGTCATTAGCAAATGACGACATTAGTAGAGTAAATAAATAAAAATGTAAAAGAATTTAAGATTGGATTCTGACTAACATCATAGGTCACTTTAATTAATGCCGAATGTGACTAAGGCCAGTAATAATCACTACCTTTATGGATAGAAGGAACTCCTCAGTTAAACCACCTCTGACCTTTTAAATCCTTCCTGTCACGTTGTACTTACTGAGCTACGCTCATCTTGTTGTGTGATACTATCCAAAGTAGGTTAGCTTTGTAAAATGGTTATGGGGGACTAGGTAAAGGCTTGGCACCAGTTCACTAGATCTCTGGCTACTGGTTCAAGGTATGGAGGTTGATTTTAACTACAAGGCTAAGATTATCGTTATACAAAGAATCAACCTTTAGAGATCTTCGGTGATATGGTAATACCTTTCACAGTGTCAGTGATTTATACGCTGTTTTTTATCTTTAAAATACTGACTATTTCCATTAAAACCTTCATCTATTCATGATCTCCATTCCTATGTACTTTTGTTTACTTAAATATCAAGCCAACTTTTCTTTACAACTTGAACTGATGTACCTTTACGTCCACTTTTAGCTTGATCTATCTATCTGTCTATGTCAGATAACTTTGGTGACTGTTTCTAAGCTGTAGATTCAGACGGAATAGGATTTAAGTAATGTGGTAGAGTATAATTCCATTTTTAGGCCTTTTGCGATATGTGTTTGTTATTCATACGGAAAGTTCACTAGTAATAAGTTTATTATAGCTGATTATCAGGGATTATTAAGGAAGTTTTCATCACGGACTGACATTAGTTGGGGAACCACTGGAAATTTGAGAGCATTGGACAGCTGTTTTGTCCCAGTAGGGGACTTCTCAGCAGTACTCACTCATGATCCGGCTAGGGATCGAACTGAGGACCTTTAGGTTTTATAACGAATGCGTTAACCATTCAGCCATTGGATCGGAGTTTAATGGTTTACAGATCCCAACTTCTATCAATTAATGATATGGCGCGACTATAATCCACACATACTAAATGCTTTCCTTTCGTAACTCAAGACCTTCAGAAGATCCTGTATCTTATTTATGTAGCAAGGGAGAAAAAGCATGTCGTTTACGTTTTATAAACTTGTATTTTTACAAACAGACCAACTTACAAACTTTATACAAGGTTTGCAGCTCTTCAGTGGGAATGGATAGTATCTATTTTGCTTCGTTACTACTCTTATTATTACAGTAATACTGTGAATAAGTGCCAGAAAGTATCACGATTTATTTTACAACCTATATTTAATTTTTTTTATAGGGTTTGCATCAATGATGTAACATTTCGTCATCCAACAGAAGTGAAAACAGAAATAGACAACTTGTCGAAGAAATACACAGAATACGAAAATGACAAGGAACATCTAATAAATGAATTCTGGTAAGCTGTTCACAAGATTAAATAAGTAATGGATAAAGTTATGAGCTAGGGCAACCGCTTGATGTTGACTTATATCGGTGTTTATTAGATAGTTAAAAGTAGACTCCGGAAGTCTGTCAACCTTTGTTTTCTACGAATAAGCAAATCATCACTGAACTGAATTACAAAGCTACGCATCATCATAGAACAGTGCATAAAATGGCAGTCCACTGTACCTGTACCTCAACTTCATCCGTTTTGAAAACGTCTTCGACAGCATCGACCGACAAGTAATTTGGCAACTGCTTCAACACTACGGTTTTAGTGCCACAAACCTTTATCAACTTCCTTCAATAGCAGCTATATGCTATGTGATGATGCATGCCAAGGGATTCACAATGAAGAGGTCAGTAATGCCTTTGAAGTGAAGACAGGTTGACAGGTAAGACAAAGTTGCCTACAATTACCTACGATCTTCCTGATTGTGGTCAACTGAAGTGGACCCTGCAAGAAACGACTGTGAGGAGCGAGAAGATGGGTATACGCTGTTTGACCGATAGGAAGACCACAGAAGAATATTTGCATTTGACCGATGACGATTTACGTCTGGTGTCGCACAAACTCGAAGATGTACAGACGAAAACTAACAAGTTGACAGAAGAGACGAGGCAGTGAATACGGGACTTTCTTCAGGTGAACATAGGACAGAGGTGGTGAAGATACCCAACAAATAATAGCAACAACAACAACAAGCACCATTCACCATCAACATAAGAAATGTGAAGGAAGTTATCTCTTTCACTCACCCCACCACCTAAGGCAGCATCGTTTCAACTACAGGCGGCATAGGCACATATGAGAGTGTCAAAGCCAGCCAGGATCGGAAAGACAGCAAGACAGGCCTTCCTGTATTAATCTGAAATCAGTGTGGAGATCTACTGCACTGCAATCCACTGCACTCAGTATAAAGCATGAACAAGATGCGGATTTTCAACATTAAGTGAGTTAAATGAGTGTTTCTATGTGATGGTTGAGAGAGTCGGCACGTTATGAAATACATTTCCAACAAACTACAGACATACATGAACAGCTCCCGCCTATACTTACTCGATAATGATGATCAGATGAGAAGGCGGGAGATAATAAGGAAGGAGGAACTCTAGCCTAGCAACGAACCAAGGAACCAACAACGTATGCAGAAGAAGAAAGTGGAAATGGATTGGACATTCAGTTAGAAGACCATTCGAGGACATCACGCATGAGAAATTCGAGTGGAACCAGCATGGGAAACGACGAGTTGGGTGTCCATTGGTGACATGGCGATGGTATGAGGAAGCAATGAATACTTCTGGGCAGAGGTGAAGTTAGGTTGAAAAGACTGGAGAGAAGAGAGCGAAATGGCGACATGCTAGTGAAGCCCTATTTTCCACTAGGAACCCAAGGGACAAATAATAATAGTAATAATAGCTAAGTTTGTAGTTGTGGCTCATTTGTTTTGTCAGTTGACTGCAAAAATGGATCAGGGGTTCGAAACCCACTCCACTTACTAAGATGTTGTCAGTCCTTACACGATAGATTGGGCTCACTGTCTCCACAAAAATGTCTATGGTTGCTGAGTGAATTTAGAATCTTGTTTCAAAATTTCCGGGGAATTTTAAGCTTTGTGATGCAACTGATTTCATCGTCAATTTCCAAACAAACAGTATCAAATGTAGGAAAAACCGAGACATTGAACCTTATTTTTTGTGATAGACTTGCGGAAAGGAACAAGAATAAGTAATGATTAAATGTCCGAGGTTTGATGCCATTCACCCCAAGTTAATTAGCGAAGTGAAATTAGAAGATTCGTGTTCAACTGTGTTTAAAGTATCTAAAAATGAAGATATGCATTAGTAAAAATGGACACTTTATATTTGAGAGTTACAGTGACCTTCAAAAACCAAAAATACTAAGTACATTAAAACAAGTAAGAGGCAATCAGCACACTGGTGGGTTATATGAAGATTACTCCACCTGTGGGAAAAAGATGAAGACGAAAAGAATTCAGGAATTATCATAAGTAATAAAGAAATGTAAAAGATATTGACATTTTCAACAGTTTCAGCACAGAAATATTACTAACAACTTGCTAGATGGAACTTGATCAGTTTTCAGTGATGAATCAGTATCAGGATTTATGTATCAACACATGATTGGATTCAGTCTCGTAATATGAGGAGAAGAGTTGATATAAAGTTGGTATTTATCATGAATACTACTTTGAGACAGGCGAATCTTATAAACTTGTTTAACAGACCACTGTGTATATAACTTGTACTATATAACTATGATTATAAACACTTTACTCCAAACAAAATGTTTGATACAGTATGGAATTCTCAGAGTACGATATTTTCAACAAATTTACCCCTTGTATAATATTTTCTATCTAAATATTTATAACATCTGAATAATGTAACTACTAATTGTTGTTAGACGGTTGTCTAGATTGAAGAAAGGAGGAGTTGACGTACTCAAAAGGGTATATAGTTTCGATGGTAACACGTCATTCATCTTGCATGGAAATCTACAGTCTAAAGTAACTATCTCAAGAATAGTGATTTCAAATATTGTTGTGGTCTGAGGAGCCCAATGCTCTGTATCATGATACTGTCTGATAAAATTTACTTTGTGTTTCCAAGTAGATAGACTGAAAACAAGTTTAATGGAGAGATTTGATTCAATAGGAAAGGTTTGATAGCCCAAGGTTTAAGTTAGCCACTATAGTGTTTCCTGAGAAATGTACTAACACTATATCACGATGCTAAATATAATTATGAGAGTGATCTATCCACCTTCAAAGTCTCCTGTAAAACGAGTTTATCACGGAAAATAGACACTATTACACCATAACAAGACAGACAGTTAATAAGATGAACAAAATAGTTTGATATATCATCTCTTTTGGTGATTTATAGTTGAAACTTTTGGGTGTCAGCCTACTACAAGGAACATTTCGGTTTGTTTCATTATGAATTCACAACCACCTTTAAGATATACAATTAAGGCAGATTTGGAAAGAGTAAGTCAGGTCTTTAGCGAAAAATTTTGCTTTTTCTGTAAAGACAAAATAGCTTTTGTCACAGCTTGCTTATACATGGTTTCCAAACTTGTCTAAATTTCAGAAGATGAATTTATGAAAAGTCATGTTAACTTTAGAATGACTCATATCAGAAATATAATGAAAAAAAATATTTTTTTAATGCATATTTTAAACATGAAAAGTGGTTAGTAATAGAATAAAGGACTGATGTTTCGTCCAATTTAGGACATGTTAGCTGGAAGCATTTAATGGAATCAACATCCATAACTTCATACACCAAAGTATTATCCAGTAAACAACGGGTCTACTATACTAACTCCTTGTGTAACGGGTATACCTTGACATACGCGAATCTTTTATTTCTCCTTGTCTATTGGTTTGGAGAGAACTGACCTACATTTTCGGTCCTATGAGCTACTGTGTGAAAAATAACAGGCTTTATAGAGGAGCCTATATGTCAGCAGGCAAAAACTAACAAGTTGACAGAAGAGACGAGGCAGCGAATACTGGACTTCCTTCAGGTGAACATAGATAGGACAGAGGTGGTGAAGATACCCAACAAACAATGGCAACAACAACAACAAGCACCAATCACCATGAATATGAGAAACCTAAAGGAAGTTGTCTCTTTCACCTACCCCCCACCTAGCTAGGCAGCATCGTCTCAACTACAGAGGGCATAGGCACAGATGAGGATGTCAAAGCCATGCAGGATTGGGAAGACAATAAGACAGGCCTTCCTGTATTAATCTGAAATCAGTGTGGAGATCTACTTCACTGCAATCTACTACACTGAGTATAAAGCATGAACAAGATACGGATTTTCAACATTAATATCAGTGAAGTAAGTTAGTGCTTCTATGTGATGGTTGAGAGAGTTGGCGGGTTATGAAAAGCATTTCCAACAAACCACAGACATTCATCAACAGTTGCCGCCTATGCTCACTCGATACTGAAGATGAGGTCAGAGTGTCAGAATAATAAGAATAATCAAGGAGGAACTCTGTCTGACCTGGCAACCAACCAATTAAGCAACAGCCCATCGTCGAACAAATATGCAGTGGAAGAATGTGGAGATTGATTGGATTGGGTATACAGTGAGAAGACTGATTGTGGACATGGTGCATCAGGTGAGGCCTTTGAGTGGAATGCAGAGGGGAAACAACGAGTTGTGTGTCTTTGGGTGACATGGATGAGGTGATGTGATGAAGCAATGAGAGGTTGTTGGCGGTGATGGAGCCAGGTTGAGTTCCACTAAGAACCTAAGGGATAAATCAATAATAGAAATATGTCAGCAGAGGCTGGTTAACTGAATTAAAATCAAACATGAATAGGAAATAAACAATGCTAATTCATAACCTTTGTTTACTTAGCTATCTAGTCTTTCCTACACTGGCAATGCATTTTACTTAATTTTTTGAGGTCTAATTATGCCCGGAGTTTCATTCTATAAGTCATGATTTTTCAAAAGTTGATAATACAGGATATTATTCAGAAAGCAATGAACTCTTCTTCACTTAGAAACATAAACACAATTAGGCAAACTTGTCCTAGGCTTATGGATCACTTCTATCATCGATAAGAAAACATTTCACTAAATCTTCTTGTATAACCGATAATAACCGCATTCATCAAAGATGAAAGCAGCTACTAGCTATAACATTCATTGCATTTATAAAGCTGTATATGTTCATGTTTAAAAGTAGTATGAATGAATGTTAAAGAGGAAGTAGGATGGAGAGAGAGAGGAGTAAATTCATGAATTTTTGTTACTCAACCTAGATAAAAGACTAGAATTCCATAAAATATATTTTTGTTGAGGATTCATGATATCTTATCCCATTTATCGGAGATAATGAATTTTTCCATTAGAAGGATTCCTCAAAATGGTGTTTTATTTTTATCATAGTCTTCAACTACATTTTAGTCATCCAATTCAGAGTAATTTAGAAGTTGTGGGGATTATGCTAACCATATCATACACCATTTGCTTGTCGGTTTAATCTTATTTCGTTTCAAGTGGTTTACCATCCACTTGTTTGTTCTAAGAATATTGAACGGTTACCTACTTAGTGAGTGGTTGATTTGTTTATTTGAATTAATCGTTACAATCTGCTTCTTGTAATCAACTGATCTTGTTGGCCGGTTAGATCGGTTGTACGCTTATGATTGTCAGGGTAGTCGAAGATTAAATAAGTTAATAAAAGATTCATCATATGTCATCTTTTTTGAGATTTATTAATCCCAACGCTTCAGATTTGCTGATTGATTTGAATCCTGAGATCCATAGTCTCTCACTTCCACTGAGTCTCTTGAAATATACTGGAATTGAAACGTTCCACCTATATTCAAACTACCACTTAAGCTGTTCCTATGGTCTCACTTGATATCTGCTGCTTCAAAAAAAATCTCTATTCCTCTTAAATCTAATACTCACTGGCTTATAAATTTGATCAAATTCTGTGTCACTATTATAGTGTATGAATTAATTTGGATCGTGATGTTCGACTACTGTTAGATGTTCATAGATTTATCAGTACTTGAACGACTGAAACTCCTCTACAGAATGGTACTTACAGTTGATACTTCTTTCTCAACATCTTTCTGTGTAAAGAAAGTTCATCGGTCAACCCTCCACTTTCATGTAGTTGGTATTGAGCTACACGTATTATATGAGAGCAAATGTGATTACCTAGCTGTCCAAGTCTAGTTAGGTAAAGCAGTGCTCAAACCCATGACCTACTGATTGAAAGTTAACCTCCTAAACTATTGCGTCACAACTCGAGACAAAATTTTACTGAATCATGAGCTCTTTGATTGTTAGTCTTACTGGTGTACTGCAATACAGTCAATTTAACTGAATGTCAGAAATCAATAACTGTATGACCACAGTGGCAAGAATTCAAGTAGATAACTATAGTTTCATTGTTTCCTTTCGTCGATTTGTCTTTCCGCTACTGATTTATATCCTTCTGTGAAGTGACTGAAGTTGTATCAAGCTGGAGACAAATAGGTTTTTCACTAACTGACAGATTAAAATATTTTCTTTTGTTCCTAAAATCAGCTTTGAAAGTCGCGAAAATGCTCTAAACTTTACCGGTTGAGTTGCATTTAAAAAAGGGACGTTTACTCTTCATGGGAGCATTTTTCTTTGGGAGACAGTAACCTTCTTTATCCCCCAAATCATGATACTGTCGGCATCTGTGCCTTTTTGAATGGACAAAAGTTAACAAAATGTCATAAACTACCACCACAACAACAACTAAAGGAGACTTTTCTGATGAGTGTGTACTTGATTGAAGACAGAGGAGATTTTACTGTAACTAATTTACAAGGTTAAGATTTATGCTATACCTTAACTATGAGTAGGCATTGACATTCTGTTGTCACAATCTGTAAATTCATTTTGGGATCGTGTTCGATGTGTGACAAGATCCTATTTCAAACATAAGCATTTTCAGGGTTATTCAGACAGCTAATGAAAATCAGACATTTAAGATGGTCGTATGTCATTTGTTTCGTTTTGAATAGTTTGCATTCACGATTAACTTTACCAAAATAAGTTACATAATCTTCAGAAGGTACTTTAGATAATTGAAAGCACTAAATAGCATACTAAATAGAGGGGATAGAATGTTGATAGTTTCATCAAATGACAGTTCACGAAAATTCTTCAGGAGAACAAAATTTATATATTTATTACCTTCGATGATACCAAACTTTCGTAATGATAATCTAACTTTGACTGCATCGTTGAATATGGAGCATTCAATACGAATTACATCTTCATACCGATTAAACAATGAATCATATATGAGACCAAATATTAGATCATAATGAAACTGTCTGAGAGAACTAGAAATTCTCCCATATTTATCAGCATAAGATGTTGGCGATGACTAACCACTTCTTGGTTAGAGCTTCAATTAACTTGATTTGAGATACTTCATTTTGTGTTTGTTGAAGTTGAAAAATAAATTTAAGGTAATCCAGTAAAGTAGACATTACGAAATAAAACCAAAAGCTGTCGCCAACTGAAGTGCCCAAGTGGCAATGACTGACAGAATAATACATGATACGAGAACGCTACTAACGCAGTTAGGTACTTGAACCGAATTCGAATAGCGACTATTTTCCGTTAAACCTGATACTTCACTGAGCACAGAATATTAGAAGACAAAGACCAGCCTATGACATGTAAGTAAGACTTTATTTGACGAAAACACATCATTTCTGTACAGTTTTCCTCAGAAAATAAAGCCACTAATTCAGAAGATGGATGCTTATTTTCATTGGCCAGCTGAACGACAAAGTTGTCCAATAAGGTTCTCCCCGCCCACGCAGCAACATGAAATAAAGGTCGAAATTGAAAAATTTCTACCTAAGCGGGTGATGACTTAGAATGCTGATTTCGATTTAGGCCTCTGCTTATTATTCCGCTGACTCATTTTAATATCCTTTTAGATTGGGGGGTAGCTTTTAGTCACTGTATTGCTTTGATGTACGGCAACTTGAACTTATATGAATATTTCACTGTTTACTCAATATAACTGTAGCAGAGATTCGTATAACGTATAAGCAACAACTACAAGAAACATTTTTCAGAAACATTCCCACTAAACAGTTCAGCCAACTTCAGTCATAGGATAACAAATACCTGTATTTACAGTAGCAATCTCAAGGCAGCATTGAAAGGGATAGCTTACAGATTTGTAATGTTAGTCATAGCTGTATAGAACAACGATAAACAATGGGAAATTTATAACTTAAGCACACGAGTATATTGAGTGAATTTACCTTATAGACGAAGTGACTTGGCCAAACCTATTGGGTAGTAATATAGTCTGATATATACTTAAGAATACTTTGGTTGTTGTCTTCACACCTCCTTTTTTAGTTTCCTCAATTCCTCACGAATAGGAAAAAGTGGAAAACCCATAAACGTTTTATTGACAAGTCAAAATGTGTACAAAACGCAACTGTATATGTATGTTTTCAATCAATTTAGTATTTTCTACACTTTTCTAGGAAAACATTTTTCATTGACTTTGTTGTGTAACTCAATCTGCAGCTCACACATAGGATTACGTAACTTTTCATAAATGTTCAACATGCAATGATTGGTTGTGAAGTTTTTTATAGAGTTTAAAGGATCGACGATGTAATGATGTATTCCATTTCAGCTAGGCGTGTCCAGTTGTCACAAATATTGTTGGTGTAAGTCTACCTGTTTGACTTAACTGCATGCATCATACTTACTCTAGGTATATTATCACGGACTTGTTAGAGGGGGATGGTCAATAATGAGCACTTCACTGTACCGTTTTATGCTATATTGCATTGAATTGCTATTACATAAATGCATCTGAAATTCATTTTAGTGAGAATGTGGTCCCAACAAATGCTATAGAAGAATTCTTGGAGAAATGGAACTGTAAAGCTAAACAATTATTTACAGATTGGGGTATGTTTACGAGGAAAACACTTTTACATTTAACCTTGTCTTATAAATTTCTGTTAATATATACAACTCAGTTAATTTTCTATGGTGGAGGTCTGTTGGCTTCTCATCTGTTGTCATCTTGTAGCCAAGTTACAATTATTAAACTGTATGGTAAGGTATTTATAGTATCAACGTGGGACCTGATAATGGTGTTCAAGGGTCCAAGTTGTCATACCTATCTGCATATCAAGCAGCAGCGCATCAAGCCGGAAGATAAAGTAGTGGAAAAGAAAGCGGGTAAAAATGGTAGAAAATCAAGGAAAGACAACAACAAGGGTTAAAATAATATTGAAATTCAGTATGACGATTATTAAGAAGAAAAAAGTGTAAGTACATCCTCATCACTAAAATCCATTCTCAACCACATCACCTAGAGTCTTCAAACACGGGTTTCCGTTGTCGCGTGAACTCTAACTGAGAAGCTGAACCTACTTCAGCTGACACTCTATGACGAGGAAGACGGTGACTATTCATGCATAACATGTACTTGAGCCGTCTGAGTCTATGATGGCTTACAACCTCATCAACTGACTTTTTTTCTCTATCCAAGACTCTACGCCTGATTTGTAAGTTACTAATGTAATGACATCACGACATTCAGCCTACGCTAGGAAGGCGACGGTGGTTGCACACCAGTTTCACATATAGTAGAACGGAAAGAATTGGAATGTAGTTTATTCAACCCTTAAGAACAATCGTATATCAGTGTGGTAATTTGGTGAAAGTCAAGCGAGACTTTTGCATCCACACAGAGATATCGTGAGTCACTGAACCAACAGAGCTGATTCAATTTTCCAGGTGGGTGTACTGGTCGATGGGTTCAATCACTTCATTTCCTATTTTTAGACAAGACACTACTGAATACCAGTTCTGGAGCAATAATTTGAATTTGTGTGATAAGAAACGCTTCCCAAACATTCTCTAATTGCTAATCAGTATATCCAGAAAACTTTGCATCTTATCAACATATTCACTAAACGGGAGCATGTTGTTTTGTGTACTCCAAGTCTACTAAGGTATTTCTTATGACAAGATAAATTCCCCTAAAGTCAGAGGAGGACCAAAAGACCATTCTAAAGATGTCTACAAAGAAATTAAAGAAGAATTTAGAAAGTGAACAGTCTTGGCGGACACCACTCTCTTAACTTATCCTAATCTTCTCATATGATCTTTTCACTGGTCTAGTCAAAAGTGTAATTTCCCCCCCCCATGATATCTTTTCAGTATGAAATCCTTAATTCGTTTCCGCATATGCATGTTAGTTATTATTCGGTTTCCAACTTAAAATGCCAACAGCCTACTTCATAAGTAAATCGATTCTTCGAGTAATCACCATTTTCTCTCTAATGTCACACTCAGATTTTTCTGATCTCCTACTAAGTAGTGAAGATATCTCTTTTGAAGTAGAAAACACTATATGGGTGGCAAGACCAAGAAGTTGGACCATTCGATGAAGTCTGCGACTAATTGGTTTGACATGTATGGGGAGATGTAGACCACATGGCTATCGTCCCCTGGGTGACAGGAATCAGAGGTTATGGATTGTTGGTGATATGATTGTTTTCTATTTATACAGTATGAAATGACATGTAAATCAGCGCTGTTTACATCATATTTTACAATATTATGACAATTCCAACAACTGAGATACTGTGTTGGGATAGAGATCTTTTCTCAAGTAAAGCATACAGTATCTCACCTACTAGCTTTCTGATTGGATAGTAGTAAACGTCAGAAAATGGTTGGCTTATTATTATTCTATAAAAATATGTTGGTAAAACAAAGGTATGATTTAAAATCCCTATTAACTAATGTTACTCTTTCAGTTATTGTCAACATCAGTATTTTCCGACAACATATTACGAGCAATGAATGCTTCAAGGGCATGAATTATGAAAATGTCTTATTTTTCACGTTTTTTACAACTATCCTGTAGAGAAACGTCAATTTCTGAATCGTACACGTAACCTGTGGTGATGAGACTCATATTTCTAGGGTAGTGCATTTGAGCATGTTGTGTTTCCGTTGTCTGTTTATCATCAATCCTTATCTGATGTTATGCTCTGTTATAAATTTGCAACACTGAGAAAAATCATGATTGCACTTAATTCTAAGAGATATTCTATGATTTTGTCATATTAGTCTCTACAGAAGCCTTTAGAAAAGTATAACCAATGTTTTGTCTCCAGCTCGTTGCCAGAAACACACGATAATGACAGTGAATAGCACATTTTCTGGTTGACTTTGTTTGAAAAAATTAAATCCCTATCTATTAAAGAATAGTGGATTTTTGGCTTATTAGCTTAGAAGGTTGACTTTAAAGCAGGAGGTCTCAAATTCAAACACTACTTCACCCACCTAGGTGGTTTGTGCAGCCAGTCCTCATACAATAGGTGTGACTCATGGCTTACAGCATGAATGCTAGCAAGGTTGCTGGGTGGGTTTTGTTTCACTTTATTTTAAAACAAATAAATATAAAAGTTGTCATTCACAGCCTCCTGGAGATGGGAAGAAGTGAGGAAAATTTACGCAACTAATAGTATTTATACATATTGAAGGGGTTCTAAGGATTGAGTGCATACCGTTATATTCAAAAAGGGTAACTTGGGAGATTCATAGTTTATGAACACAAAGTATATCCTGGCCACATCTATTTGAAGAGAGACAGGTGAACCGAAATAGAATCTTGTACAAATGTGTATAACGTTGAATGTTTATACTTCATAAGTGTAATATGGAGAAACTTGATTTATAATACTCTAAAATATGATAAGAAACCCATTAAATGTTAATAACTGCGTATCGAATGATGAATAAAAAGGAGGTAACTGCTTTTAAACCAACTTTAAGTAATGCATCTTTATCAGGGTTTATCATTCATAGTATATAACATTTATTCTTTCCGTTAAAGTTTTTTAAAAATTTTACTGAAAAAAGGTAATAAAGTGACAGTGTCGTGCTTTGGTTGAAACGTCAAAGTAACCTACAATATAGAAAACAAAAAAACCTGAGGGAATAATAATTTCTTTTCAACTAACTTCTTCATCAATGGCCGTATTTTAATAGCACTAACAATGTACAAAATAGCTAACCACTCCAGTAGCTTAAATTAAGTTGGTAATATATCATTAATCTCAAGGAGTCAAAGGGTGATATTTAATGAAGGTAATCATGACATTAGCTAAAGTATAGGATAATTAAACTGTAGATTTGTGAAAGTTTAAACAGCTTGTAATGTCTTGCTTGTTTTGTGTTCTCTGAGCTGGGTTGTTTAATCGTGAAGCTTTCATCGTCCCTCTCCCAGACGACATCATCAACAACAACTTCAGTTCGAAGTGAGCTGTCAATATCTCTCAGTGAGTGATTTAGTAGCTTGCTCTGACCATGTGGTTTGTGATTGCTTGTCTCCTTCCATTGTTGTATCATTAACTGACTGTGTATAGATTTTCCTGTTGCCTATCCCCCTACTTCACCTCTCACCTTGCTGTCGTTTATCATTCTTCTTACTGGTTGATAGATCGGGTCTATGTGTATACATCTGTTAGTTGGTGACTGACTGACTGATTGAGTGACGTGAATACCAAACTTCTAGGAATTCTCTGACATTCTTTGTCTTTCCTCTCTCCATCCAACATTTCTACATTGTCCAGATTGAATTCATGTGCATACTTGTTATCCACATGCATTGAGATGAGTGATGAAATGTCGTGTGTGGCATTTAATAGCCAATTGGTGTTTATGTGGACAAAGGCGAATGTGGGGCGACCACTTTGTCCAATGTGGTGTGTTGACTACAGTTATTGTAGTTGATTTTGTAAATGATATTCAGTTTGTCTTCTTCGCTTGTTGCATCCATTGGTCTGCATAATAGTGTTTGGAAGGAATTTGTTGGTTTATGAGCCACACCAATTCCAGGTGGTCTCAGCAATCTTGTCCTGATTTCTGATACATTCTTCATGATGTATGGTAGGACGATGCGTTTGTTGATTTGTGTTGATGACTTTGTAGTTGATGATGCACTGGATAGGCATCTTTTGATAAAGTTTTGTGGTTAGCTGTTTTTCTTTGGTATGGACTTCAAGTAATTTTCTTCTTTTCCCCGTGAAGTTGTTCTACTGCAGTGCAGTGTGTTCTCGCTCTTTTGAATAGAGTCTGAAGGCAACTGATTTTGTGTGTCGTTGGGTTGTTGCTATTGTAGTTGAGGATTTGGTCAGTGTGTGCTGGCTTCCCGTACACTTGGGTTTCCAGCTTTCCGGCATTTGTCTTACTGACTACAATACCCAGGAATGGTAGTTGGTTGTTTGACTCCTTCTCCATTGTGAATTTGATGTCATTGAAGACGTTGTTGATCAAACTGTGGGTGTTTTCTATATCATCCTTTTTAATGATGACAAAAGTGTCGTCTACATAACGAATCCAAATTTTTGGTTTGATCACAGGTAGAATAATGGCTTCCAGTCTCTGCATCACTCCTTCTGTTATTAATCCCGATATCGGTGATCCCATTGGAGTTCCTTTCATCTGCTTGTATATCTTGTCGTTGAATTGGAAGTATGTTGTCATACAAAGGTCGATGAGTTCCATCAGACTTGAACATTTGAGTTTTGTGCCTTCTGAAAGATTTTTGTCTTCATTGATCAGAAGGGATATCGTTTCCTTGGCTAATTGAGGTTCGATGGATGTGTATAGTTCTGCGTTATCGAAGGATATCATTAATTCATCGTTTTCCATGTGAATATTTTTGATCTATTCTAAGAATTCTGTTGGTGACTTGATGGAATGTCCACATGATTGAACGAGGTGTTTCGATTTTCTCGAAAGTTCTCTTGATATGTTGTATGTTGGAGTTCCCGGAAGTGAGAGTATTGGTCGTAGAGGGATATCGGGTTTGTGTAGTTTTGGTCTGCCGTAGAATCGAGGAAGGAAAGGTTCATTCGATCTCATACGCCATTTGTCTTGCT